GTATGGACTATTTTGAAAAGATGGTTAAAACTTATTTTTCAGCTCTTAACTCATTTTAAGTCACATCATCTTTCACATTTTTTACACATTTAAAAAAAAAATCAAAAAATCAATTTTTAATCATCTTTCTAAAACAACCATATAAATCTTAAGTTTACACTCTTGGAATAGGTCCAAAGAGTCTTGCTTAAAATCGAATTTTAATTATAATTTAAAAAATAAAAATAAAAATGTATTTTATTACAACACTGTTGCATAGTTTGAATTTGAGTTTGACTTAAATGGCTCGAAATTCATCTTACCGGTCGTCCTGCGAGAAGATTGATAGCTACGATCGATAAGGTGACAACTACGATAGACAAATGTTTTATCTCATCGTTCGAATAGTTGTCCAATAAATACCAATTCAAACCATTCAGCCCCTTCCTTTCTGAGTGATTAGGCATTTTTCATTTTATTATAATGAAATGGTTGTTGCAGCAAATTTTGACTAAGGTGCATAGTTTGAATTTGAGTTTGACTTGAATGGCTCGAAATTCATCTTACCGGTCGTCCTGCGAGAAGATTGATAGCTACGGTCGATAAGGTGACAACTACGATAGACAAATGTTTTATCTCATCGTTCGAATAGTTGTCCAATAAATACCAATTCAAACCATTTAGCCCCTTCCTTTCTGAGTGATTAGGCATTTTTCATTTTATTATAATGAAATGGTTGTTGCAGCAAATTTTGACTAAGGTAGGTTGATGGGCGGCAACCCCATAAGTCCAAAATAGAGTTCAATTCAACAACCCCATAAGAATGTACTAAGACTTTGTTCGGGAAGAATTAATTTAATATGATTTTTTAATTTCACGATTAAATTTGGTCGGATTAAATTAATTTTGTTTGTTAAAAAAATTTAGTTCTTTTTTTTAGTTTGAATGTAATGATTGTGAAAAAAATAAAAATAAAATAATTATGATTTAAATGTGATATTTTATTTTATTAATTTATTTAATTAATTTTATATTTTTATATTTAATCAATTTAACTCTTGCCAAATGATGCTTAAGCTAAGGTCACCTCAACCTCAAAAGTCAATCCATTTGATCTCTCCTTTTTCCAATAATCCTTACTTGGTTAAGATAGATGAAAAATTACAAATCAGTGATATTTTTAAAAAATAATTATAAATTTATAAATATTTATAATTTTAATTATTAATATTTGTAATGTTCATTATTGATAAGATTTTTTTTATTTATTAAATTTATATTCAATTGTAATTTACTCTACGATAAATTACTCATGCTTGGATCATACCAAAAAAAACAATAATTTACTCATGCTTGGCAGTCTTTGATTGGTCACCATTGGCCAGGTTTGGCAAGTTGCTTTTTTGGTTTTTTTTTTTAACTAAAATAATTTAAGTTAAAATAGTAAATAAGACAAAATTTCACATCTAACCCATAATCATTATACTTTTTATTTCACAACCATCAAATCAATTATAAAAAAAAAATCAACTATCTTCCTAAATACGGCTATTGTAGTCAAGTTAAAATAGTCAAAAAACTAAATAACCAATTAAAACAGCCAATTTTCTAAACAGGGCCATTATTGTTTGTATTTACATTTTAAAATCATAATATATACAGGGTCATTTTGGAAAGCTAGCAAAAAGTTAATTTTTAGTTTTTTTAGTCAAAAAAGTTAACTTTTTTACCCAAGTCACCACCCAAAAGGCTAGCTTTTTTAGCTAAAAAAAAGGTTAAAAGTCAACTTTTTATCAACTTCTCAAATTACTCCGCACTAAGATGACGTTTGGATGAAAAAGAATGAGAAGTATTATTAGGAATTGATAACAAGATTCTTATAATGCAATTCAAACGTTTAGTCTGGTTAGGAATTTTTCTATAAAAATTAGGTGCTCTAATTATAGGGAATGGGATTGGAGATGCTTTTGGGTCTTGTAAGCCTATGATTTTACTTTGATAATTTAAATTATTCATTTTGTTCAATTATATACGTGTACATCATTCATGAAAAAATATAAATTGATATGATATTCATAACTTATGATTTTATTATATTTGTCTACAAAAACAAAAAAAGAAAAAAAAAAGAAAAAGAAGAAGAAAAAATGATGATTTACTTTTAAAATTATTTTTGTCTTTTTTGTAAACAAATAAGTAACACGAGACCTAATATCAACCCAAATCTTAATTTTAAACATTATGAGTGCTTGCTTTCTTAAATAACTCACTTAATAATTCTACAATTTTATTGAGATTCCCATTAACGATGTGGGAATAAGATTTCTACTTAGTGTTACTATACACTCCTTTTGTCTTGAAAATTTCATTCATATAAAAGGTTAAGAAATCATTTGAGCCAGTGTTACTTTAAGATTGTCGGCCACAAGTCCTGATGAGGAATATCGTTGTTAGGTAGTCACAATCAACATATAGAATTTTTTTAAATTTTTTTTTATGAACACAAATGGGAGAAATTAGGGAAAAAAAAAAACGCATGAAGCCAATCTCACCTAATTGGAACACGAGACTAAAGCCTCGTTCGCAGACTTAAGATTTTAATAAAAAAATCAAAAAATTACTATAAATTAGAGGTGTTTGGTGAGAATTTTTTGAGCCAACTTATGACTTCTGACTTTTAAAAAGTTATTTTGGACTGTTTGGTTAAACTTATTTCAAACAGTTTTTGATTCTAACAACTTATTTTAAGTCAAAAAAATTGATTCTGAGAAGCTGCTCACCCCTTGCTTCTGATTATCAGTTTCTTAAAATATGAGACTTATTGGACAATCTCCCTTTTAGTTAATATGATAAGGAAGATTTTGAAAAAATAAATAAGTAAAATACGAACAATGTTGCAGCTTATTTGTGCATTATATTTCTTTTGTTATTTCATATATAATTATTACATTAATTTATTGACCTTACCATTCATATTTATTGTCAACATGGTGATAAATAAACAACGATGGTATTCCATTCATCAATTAGTGTACTAATTAGTGTATTAATATTAATTATGACATTATTATTGACCTCACTCATTATTCAAATTTAACTATCAAAAACTTCTTAAATTATGCTACATCATCAATTGATACACTAGTTAGTATACTAATTGGTACATGTAACATTATTTAATAAACAAAATAGAATAATGTTATATGTACCAATTAGTGTACTAACAAATGATGTGACATCATTTTAGAGGTTTTGAATATTTGTAATTTGTATAATAAATAGGGTCAATAATAATGCCATAACACTAGTTAGTACACTAATTATTACAAAAAGTTATGTTAGGGATTCCAAATAAACTATCAAATTTTTTATTAAACCTCTCACATGGGTGTGCGATCCACACACATGTAATTTGTGTGAGTCCCACACTTATGTGAGAGATTTGATAAAAAATTTGATAATTTATTTAAGGTGTATAGCATTTTTCTATTACAAAATATGATGGTCATATAATTATTGTATTTATTACCACTCACGTAGACGGGCCGTTAATTCTTTCTACAATTTTTAATTTATCTCCATACTCAGCCTCGATTTGGCATTTATTGTGGGCCTAAATAATCACATATGGGCACAAAAAAAAAAGCTATAAAACCATAAAATGTCAAAATATTTGAGTTGGGATGCAAAATTACCAAATCGACACATATATAAACAAAAATTTTAAAAAGCATCATTTCCAAGTGGAGGGTAATATTGTCATTTCACTTTGGAAACATCATTTCTAATGCAAAAAAGCCAAAAAATCAAACAAGCAAAAACGTCCTAAGCTAAAAGAGTAAAAAAAAAAGCCAACTAAAAAAATTATTGCCAAATGAATCCTCACTCTATGAGAGAGGAAGTTGATGATAAATTTTATTTTAAAAGGTATAAATGGAAATCACTCATATAATGACTCTTATACTCTAAAATCTGTAATATCAACAATAATTTTACATACAAATAAATAAATAAATATATATATATATATCAACTTTATGGGAAATTATTTAATATTCATGAATCACCACGTGTCCATACTCCAAGCCAATCACCAATTACTTAGTCCTATGTTGTTCCCTCATCCCCAATATAAAATCGACCCTTGCATCTCTCCACTAATTAAAACATTATGGAGCGACACGTGTCCATATTCCGGGAATACTAAATAATCATCCCAAACTCGTAATGATGTGGCCCACACATAAGTTACACTATATACAAATTTTGAATAAGTTGTATTTTTTTAGAAGTACCATAATAGAATACCCCAGACGACACTAGAATGAAGTTACTTGACTAGTGCAACTATAACAGGCCTAAGAGCAATCGCATCAACCTTAACAAATTTTGAACTAAATTATAATTCAAAATTTACGTTTGTATTTTAGCTAGCTTACACACTCCATCAAACTCTCTATTCTAAAATTTTATTTCATTAAAATATTATGAACAAGCAATTATAAACAAGGTTCAAGACAATAACAGATCAACAGCAGAGCAACATCAACATAGGAGAGCCAAACCCACTGAGGGGCGGTCGACCGGTCAGACCAAATTTAAGCATTTTCCTTCTTTGTTACAGGGCACTCACGAGACATCCAGGGGGGACAGTCGAATAGATGACTAATCATAGATTTTTGGCCCAACTTTGCTTCAGAAAATATAATAAAAAATTGATTACCGTGTGAACAGTACCTCAACAAATCAATTGAGACACTGTAGCATTCACAAAATGAATGAAGGGTATAGAAAGGTTGATGGAGCTGATATTTATAGCTTTTGTTCTCTACGATAGTTTTAAAGCCATTGTAGAGAGGGCGATGTAGATGCTCTAATCTGGGCAACCCCAACCCAGTCTAACTTTGTGCAAGCTTGGGTCTTTTTTACAAGCCCAACATTCAATTTGGGTCAGCCTTAGGCAATGAATTTTGACATGGGCCGGTGGGCTTTCTTTTTGTAGAGATCGAAACAAAATGCCCATAATCACTGGGTCGCATGTCGTCACTGGCAACTAGAAGCTCACACAACGCCAAGCGCAGAAATGTTGCTCCGTCGCGTTCGAACAACCCTCGCCGCCGCGCGCTATTTCTCTGCGGTGGCGGCAGTGGCGGCGAAGCCCGCAACCACTGGCGGCGCCCCCATCGCCGCCACGAACTCCGCCGGACGAGACACGCTGGGAAGACGACTTTTGAGCCTCGTGTACGCCAAACGCAGCGCCGTGATCGCAATACGGAAATGGAAAGAGGAAGGGCACGTAGTCCGAAAGTACGAGCTCAATCGCATCGTTCGCGAGCTCCGAAAGCACAAGCGCTTCAAGCACGCCCTCGAGGTCTGGCTTCTCTCTCTCTCTCCATTGTTCAGACCTCTGTTAACCCTACTGCTTTATCTGTTTGTTATTACATGTTTATCGTGTGTTTGTGTTTATGCCTAATAGGTGGTTCTTGGTTCTATGAATTAGACTAACATAGTTGGTATTGTGTGATAGGGATGTAAACATACTTGCAATTCGTTTTTCTGGGTTTAGATATTGCGGGTATTAAACCCTGTTTGATTCTGCTGAACATATGGCAAAGATAAGGGGAAATGTGGAAGAATATGGATTGAGTTTTGCTTAAAACTTCAAAAGGTGTATTCACTAGTATAATTTCAATTTTATCTGGAAATTTGTGGAATGTGGGTTTTGGTGACTTTGGCACAGAATATGGAGTGATGAATCTTTATATTTGAAATGGGACAATGAAAAAAAAAATGCTCATAAAATTTACTTGTTTGTATGGCATAACTCCTTAGCTTAACGGAATCACAATATTCAATTTTTTGCTAATCTTTTTGGCGTGTTTGATTTGAATGATTTTGGATTTTAGATTACTGAAGATTATGTCTTTCACTTCATGCCTTATAGTTGACGGTGCTGAGATTGTGAAACCGGGTTAGTACTGATGTCCTGCTCTAAGGGGGTTGGGCATTGTAGTAGGAATATTATGGTAATTTGTCGATGTAAACCTGACATATAAATATATTGTTGTTTTCACAATCAGCCGCATTGTACTCTTCTCTTCTCTTTGTATAGTGGAACTGGTTGTAGGCAATCTTGTTGAAACATGTAAAAAAAAAAAAAAAAAAATTCTTTGAAACATGTAAATTTGTGTGTCAAATTTTCTTGTTTGTGATTGATTCTTCTTGGTATTGTTTGTGTATGTGATTTGTTCCCCAACAGGGTCTCAATTTTGATTATTTATGCAGATATGTGAATGGATGAAAATACAAGGTGACATCAAGCTGCAACCGGGAGATTATGCGGTTCATTTGGACTTGATTGCAAAAGTTCGTGGTCTAAGTAGTGCAGAAAAGTTTTTCGAAGATCTTCCCGATGGACTGAAAGGCCAGCCTACCTGTACTTCTCTTCTCCACACCTATGTCCAGCACAAGGAATCTTCTAAAGCTGAGGCTCTTATGGAAAAAATGTCTGAATGTGGTTTCTTGAAATACCCTCTTCCTTATAACCACATGCTTTCTCTGTACATCTCCCAGGGCCAATTAGACAAGGTTCCTGCAGTGATTCAAGATTTGAAGAAGAACACTTCACCGGATGTGGTCACTTACAATCTGTGGCTAACTTCCTGTGCCTCACAGAATGATGTTGAGGCTGCAGAGAAGATCTTTCTCGAGCTAAAGAAGGCGAAAATAGATCCGGACTGGGTTACATACAGCACTTTAAGCAGCTTGTACATAAGAAAATTGTTGTTTGATAAAGCAAAACCTACTTTGAAGGAAATGGAGGAGAGGACTTTTCGAAAATTTCGTGTTGCTTATTCCTCCCTCCTTAGTCTGCATACAAACATAGGAAGCAAGGATGAGGTGAACCGGATATGGAAAAAGATGAAATCAACATTCCTGAAAATGAATGATGCAGAGTATAATTGCATGATATCTTCTCTCCTAAAACTCAATGAATTTGAGGAAGCTGAGAAAATCTATACCGAGTGGGAATCTGTTTCTGGCAGTGGTGATTCTAGGGTTTCAAACTTACTTCTTGCATTTTACATCAACAAAAAAGAGATGGAATTGGCGGAGAATTTTTACAATCGGATGGTTCAAAGAGGGATCAAACCAAGTTACACCACGTGGGAGCTTCTCACCTGGGGCTATTTGAAACAAAAACAGACGGATAAAGTTTTGGATTGTTTCAAGAAAGCTGTTGGTAGTGTGAAGAAATGGGAACCCGATGAGAAAATCATTCGAGAAGTATTTAGGAACCTTGAAGAGCAAGGCAACGTTGATGGGGCAGAGCAGTTGTTGGTCACCCTTCGAAAGGCTGGCCATTTGAATACAGAAGTCTATAACTTGCTTTTGCGTACTTACGTCAAAGCTGGTAAGATGCCACTTATAGTTGCAGAACGCATGAAGATGGACAAAGTTGAGTTGGATGATGAGACCCATAAGCTTATGAAATTAACTAGTAAAATGTGTGTAAGTGAAGTTTCAATTTGTATTTCTTAAGCATGGCATGTAAATGATATGCTCTGACCTTAGAATTAATATCCTGTTTTTCAGTTTAGTTGGAATCTCTGTGTGATTTTGTTTCGATTTTGTTGCGAAGAGAAATGCTTCATCTGCTTTTTGTGTATCACTTACCGATCAAATACGACTGCAATGCAAACTTGATGACAAAGAAGGATGATGATTGGTGTGGTTTTCTTTGTTTTGTTTGTACAATATATCTCAATATTTGAGAGACCTCAAATACGAGGCAATAATGTTTATATTGTAATTTTATGCGGGATTTTGACAATTCACCATATGAAAGATATTTGAAAAATATATAAGTGGTCTCTTACGTTGTATTTAGTCGAAAAATTTGGAAAGAGATTTGAAAATGAAAAAGAAAAAGATATATGAAACTATAAGAAATATAAGTATATATTATTTATATTTTATCTATCTTTTTCCTTTTCATTTTCAAATTACTTCTCAAATTCTTTTAACCAATTTTCATTTTCAAATTACTTATCAAATTCTTTAACCAAATACAGTGTTAGAAAATTAATTGGAGTAAACTATTCTATGAAATTTGTTCAAAAAATGCTAGACCTTCTACAAGATTAATTAGGATAAATTACCTCTTCAAATATATTCAAAAGTGTAATTGATCAAAAGACTAATTGAATAAGCCTTGTTTGGGCACTTGAACTTTTAATTAAAAAATTACTATAAGTTATCACATCATTGTCTTTATTTTTCTGTATGTCCTTTTATAAAAATCAAAAAATCAATTAAAATAGTAAATTTCTAAACGGAATTCAAATTTATTCTAAATATAATTCAATTATAGCAAAATCTACCGAACTAATTATCTTTTTTGATCATCTTTCATGAGCCAATCTGTTTTTAATATTTTTACAATTTGCTTAAATTAATTTTTAGGGGGCTAATTAAACGTTACATTTGTTAGTTTATTATTGTATAGTATTATTGTATAGTTTATTATTGTATCATGTTATGTTAGTGTGCTATATGTTAGTTTATTATTAGTGATAGTCATAATGAATGTTCCCCAATTGTCATAATGAATGTTCCCCAATTGATTTCTTCTTTCGGTGCTAATTGGCACCTTATGTAACTTTTCCTCTCTATAAAAGAGAGTGTAAATCTCTTTGTAATATACATATTCACTGAACAATTCTGTGGCTCTTTCTCTCTCTCTCAATCCTCTATCACTCTCTCAAATTATTGTTTCAAGATTAACAGCTTCTGATTAAAGTCATAACCTATAATCCGTTAAGTTATAATCTATAATCTGTTTTAACAGTCACCAAACAGCACCATTGTCATACCACTTTTTTTTTTTAATTTTTTTACATATCTTTTCATAAAAAACTAAAAAACCAACTAAAATAACCAATTTCCAAACAAGCCCAGTTTGATTTGATTTGGTATAAGAACCCATTTGGGTTATACTTGTCTTGACCAAGCCCAAGGTCCAGTGACATTCGACCATCCAAGAAGAAAAAAAAAAACCCAAAAAAACATTTAAAAAAAAAAAAAATGCCTGAATGATTGCAGCAACTAGAGACCATGTTTGGATCAACGCCTATAAAATTGAAGGCATTTCCAAATAGAGCCTTGGATTGTGTTTTGCAGCCCACAATACAACCAACCAATTTAACAACAATATAAGGTAGAACTAGTTCGATATTTAGAGAATGAAGAACATTATTGATTGCCCATTTATATCAATGTCGAAAATACAATTTAACTCAATTTTCAGGTACAATTATGATGTTTCTGAGACTCAAACGAACACCAGAAAAAGAAAACAGAGAAAACAGAAGTGATTTGAATAACAAGATTGATAAATTTATGCAGCTGCAGTGATGCACTCAATTGCCTGTTTGCATATACCAGTCATCGTTGCCTCCGGTCCATAAACCTGAAAGAAAACAAGAAAAAAATTTCAGAATTCGTGATTCCTTGTATAATAACGCTTTGTTTCGTTGGAAAACATTTTCTGTTGGTCCATAAACATAGGAAAGTGTTATCTACAAAACAACTTTTTTCAAAAATATTTTTTGTAAAAAACGTTTTCCTATGATTTTGATCTTGAAACTAAGGCGCTGATGGTTGTATTAGTAGTGGTGTTGGTGTTGGTGGTGGTGGCGGTGATGATGGAGGTGTGGTTGTGGCAACAAAGGAAGTATAGTGACATTAGTAAGACTTTAGTTTGAAAATCATTTTCTACCTTTGAAAAATTGAGAACATTTTTTTGTTTAAATAAACTTGTTTTATATTGACCATGAAAAACATTTTCTGTTGATTTTCGTTTTCTGCTGAAACAAACAGAATTTAAGTTGAAAACATTATCTACAAGAGAGGAAACATTTTAGATTTTAGGTATGTATTAGTACCTCAATAGGGATGCCGATTTCCTCTCCAAGAGTCCGCATTTTTGCAAGACCCCTTTGGTAATTTGGACCTCCTCTCCTAACAAATATCCGCATTCTTGCAGCTTTAAGCTTTGACTCCTGTTCGGACAACACGGGATTCAGTCATTATGGTTTACAGCAAAAGGATTACCTTCAGAATAAGAACCCGGAAAGAAATTATCTCACCTTCTCTTTCAGTGCTCTAATTATGCCATTAAATGTAGCGGCGACATCAGTAAAGTTAGCAATTCCTCCTCCTATTACAAGGGCTCTCTCGCGACCATCAGGATCTGCAGTCGCACACTGTAGAAAATTCATGAGATTATTTCCAATGCGATGAAGGAAGGAATAAACCCCTCAAGTTCTATGAAGTTGTGAGTGATCATTCAATCATTGCACCCAAAATCAATATTAAGCAGTCTAATAGAAGCAATGCTATTGTTAAGCATACAATATATTGAAAGAAAACACTTTATAACTAATTTGGTCCAATTTTCTTTTGAAGTGTAAAAAAGAATGCATCATCTCTTAAGGTTGCATTTGGATCATAGACTTGTGTAGGGATTACCAATGGAAGGGAAAGTGATAGGAAAACCAAGAAATTCTTTTCCTTTACCTTTTCCTTTCCCTCCATAACTCTCTCCAATAAATTCATGATCCAAACACAGCCTAATTGTTGCAGTAGCGCAATGTCAGTATCTGTAAGGAATTGAACTTACATCAATCACGACTCGGGCATACTGCAACACCTCCTCTTCGTTGGGTGCTCCACTGTATTCAGCATAGTTCCCAAGCTCAGAAGCAAAGCCAAGATCCCCAACCTGATCGAGTAAATTTGTTAGCGTCTAAGAAGCAAAGCTAATGATTAATCTTAATCTGTAATAACACCAATCTCCCCAAGGATAAGAACCATACCGTATCTGCATAGATGACACTAGCACCTCCACCAGCTACCATTGTCCAGATTCGTCCCTTTGGGTTCAAAACTGTGAACTTCAATGATGCACTTGTCTGCAAGTAAATAGCAAATTCTGAAGTTTAATAAGATCCTCACTGTGAGTTTGAAGATATTCAATGAACATGTGAATCAATAAGCTGCCACAACCCAACCACCACCGAAGAAAAATGGCCAACAAAAACATAATACTTTTCAATAGAAATTTCAAGTTTCAAAAGAAGGAAGCCACAACTCTAGGACTTTAGTTGGGGTAGCGTGCATCCTGATAAATATTGGACACTAAACACTGGACCGCAGAGTAAAGGTATTTTTTGTCATATCTGCAATTGTGACCTACTGCTATAATTGTATTTATAGTTGAGGGGAGGCGGCTATCACTGTAATCTTTTGTAGCCTTGCTGATCATAGTAAAACCACAAAAGCCGTGGACTAGCCTAATTTTGGAGTGAACCACATAAGCTTTGTGTTCTTTGTGTGTACATGTGATTTATCATTCTTCTGTGTTTGTTCTATTCTGTGTTACGTACGTGTCTTACCAATGTTGGTTATGTGTTACGGATTCCTAACAATAATAACCTTCAGGATCAAGGAGAGATGAAAACAAGGAGGACGTTGTCATATAAGATGTGGAATGATGCTTTACTATATAATGTTTTTCTTAAAGGTAGGATTTATCAGTAGGTGAACATGGGTCTCAAATGCAGCCCTGAAACATCAATCAATTTGTACCTTTTCATCTAGCCCATGAATAAAGCTTTCGGTAGAGCTCATTACTCTTCCAAATGGCATAGGAAATTCAACATTGCCCCACCTGCAATAATAAAGTCTTGTATGAGGGGACTAGAATAATGAAGTTGTCACACTGAATTGCATCATTTCTATATTTAAAATGGACAATCACAGAAATTAGGATTATACTTCTTGAAGTTCTTAAAGGCAGCAGTATCATCAAGTTCCCCTCTCATATCCAAAGGATAAGGCTTTCCGTTAACCAATGTGAAAGGATTCATCTCTAGGAAAGTGAAGTCCAGATCTAACATATAAAAAATAAAAAAAAATTGCAAGTTAATAGCCAAATTTAGCAGTTATTAATGTTGATTTAATACTCTGAAAGGAAAATGATCTGTTGAAGATTTTCAACATACCTAAAAATAGAGCAAAAACCACTTTTATAAATTCCTCAATTACTCCTTTGATCTAAATCACAGAACAGACACCATGTTAGCCTACTAAAATAGTCAATAAGACAAAATGTCACATCAAACCCATAATCATTTCACTTTTTATCTCATAAACATCACATCTAACTACAAAAAAATCCAACTACCCAAACACAAATTTTTGCCTACTAAAATAGCCAAAAACTAAAATAGCCTACTAAAACAGCAACTTTCCAAACAGCCACAAAGTGGCTTTAGCTTCCACAGGCAGTCAAGCCAAATACTGAAAATTCAGCATAAATACATAATACTATGCACGGAAATTACCTCCAAGGGAAGGGTTGCAACAAGTGGAGCACATATCTCTGGTGAGAAGGACACCCCAGTAGGGACGAATATGGTCTTAACCTGGATAAAGAAGAAATGTTTTCTGTAAATTGTAGGTATCTAAAATATATATTACAAGAGAAAAGAAACCATTTAGATTTACAAAGGGCTTTCAATTGGCTCATAGAAATAAAGATCAGACTTCACATTCGTACCTTGTCCCAGTTCTCTTCAATTTCAATTCCTCCACATTCCGAGAAGCTTATGCTACACCCAAGTCGTTCTGACACGATATTGAGGTAAAACTCTTCATTGTGTGGAACAAAAGGTTCAACAATGAAAGTTGTTATGGGTCCTTTGCATCCTCCCATCTCAACCTGTTGATCCAAACAGATGAATGTAAATAGAACATTTTCTACACAAAAAAATATGTATTACAAAAAAAAAAAAAAAGAGGATTCATATTGTTACATGTTGAAATTGATGAGTGAAGAATGGAAAATGTCAAATACCTCTTTGCCAAGTCGTTCCTTCACAAAAATAGCAACTTGAGCCAAATCAAGATGCAATGCAATACTCTTTCCACGCTTCCCAAACAACATATCGGGTTTCACAACCAGTTTCTCTGATGAGAGCCAAGGCTCCTTTTCCACTAGCTCATTGACATCAGTTGATTCTGTAATCTTACACACAAAAGAAAATGAAGACATCATTTAAGCAATGTTTGTACACAGAAAGAATCAATTAAAGCAACTTTTTAAGTTTTTTATTTAAATAACAAAACATGAAAAAATCAAGATACAAAAATGATTTTTGAGATGCAATGCAAGACCAAATTGTCAGGCAGTCAGGCAGCTATAACTGTCAACCCATCTTGGTTTAAGGTTGCTAAGGCCCTTATGTAGTTAAGCAATATATAGAATACCATAAAAAGACATAGAAAAATGATTTATACCCCCACTGGGGGTCGACCCCCAGTGAGGTGGAGGCCCATGATTGGGTGAAAAAAAACAGTTTTTTTTTTTTTTTTTTTTGTTGTTGGCAGCCAGTGGGGGCGCGCCACATCACTGGGGGCGCGACCCCCACTGGGGGTATAAGGCACAGCCGAAAGACATATTGGTTGTTTTTAAACATGGGGTATAATATAAAGTATACATTATCAATATGCATTGGATTAACTCATATACATACTCCAAAATTTATCCTCTTTTTTTATCAGAGGATGTTCTGTTTATTTGAGTGGTTCAACAGTTTGGTCTACAAATTGGCAGTCTTTCCAACATTTCGCTGATACCTCCAAGATAGCAAATCTTTTTGTCAGAATATAAGTTCCTCCAGGCCAATTAAAAACCAATTTTAAGATATTCAAACAGTAACATTAATCACTACCAACTCCAAAGCAATTAATCTATGCGTGAATCTTAAACCACCATTCACAATGAAGTCATGCACAGAGAATAAGGCTTTCTCAATCTTTAAGCATTGACTTGTTATATGCATTTCTAGTCAATGGCCAATGATTTAAATAACAGGTCTATAAATTGAGGATGATTGCATTATGCCGCTGGCCACCATCATAAAACTACTGATCACAGCTTTGTTAACATAAGTCCTAGAAATTTTCCTACATGGTAACGGCTTTATTAACATAACTGAGTGGTGGCAATCGAAATGAATTTTTTTACTTACTACATATTCTTTTTATTAATAATGTTGCCACCATTTAAAAAGTGGTTCAAAACCTGTCCACCTCTAAACAAATGAAAATTCACTTCTCCATTGAGTTCACTCCACATGGTCCATACAAGAAAAATATTTGTTTATTTTATGGTGTGGTTTTGTTTTATTTATGACTTGAGAATTGTGGATTTATCAAAAAAAAGTGATGAATATTGATAAGTGTGAATCTTCTATATGATTTGGATTTTCAGAAAATAAATTAAAAAAAAAAAATTGGAAACTAACAAGAAAAATTTGTTTGACAACACAACCAAACAAACCCTCCTTTTAGGAATATTTTCTGAATATCCTAAAACCATTATGGCACAAAAAGGATAAAAGATATAAATACCGTAAGTGTTTTCAAACTTTTTCATTGTTTTGTTTCTGAAAACATGAAAATATCAAAAATTAACTATTTGTTTTTTTTGAATGTCACCACTACCTAAAATTACTGGAGTCCCCACCGGATGGAACACAAGTTGTTATAATAGAATTAAATTTCTCTTAATCAACAATCAATAGAGTAGTGCTATTCAGACCCCCAAAAAAAAAAATTAGATCCACCCTCTAAATCTATTAGAACATTTAAGGAAAGTCAGCTCTCATATATTCTCTAACCATCATCATGGGTCTAAAGCGTGGGTTTATACATATTTTCCATGATTAATATCACATACTAAAATAGATAATTCAATTCCAGAAACACATCATTGAGGATTCATGAACTCGATCTGCCAAGAAATAAGAGTTGAAATCTAAGAAATGGAGCTTACTTGTGCCGATTTAATCCCCAATTCGAGTCCGGCGAGTCTCTTGCAGTGTTCCTTCAACAACCTCTTCGAATCATACTCTCTGATCTTCTTTCGTGCCATTTCTCTTCGACCTGTCTTTCACAAAACCCAACAAATTATCAGAGACTCGAAATTTGAACTCAGATCTACATTCCCAGATCACAATCATCAACAAAATTTAAACTCATCAAAAATTGAGCAGAACCCAAAAATCATTTCAATAACAGATGAATCTAAGCTATGCAAGAACTGATCAAAATTTTAATTAAAAAAAAGGAATTAAATTAAATTGAATTACCGTTTGAAAGAGAGGTAGATGAAACTTGGGAAGTTCAGAGAGAGAGAGAAGAGAGAGAACACTGAAATCTTCGGAGTTTGATAGGTCGATTTATAGTAAAAAAAAATTGGGTTTTTGTTTAATTATTTCATTTAAAAAATATAAAAATATTTGATTGATTACAGAGTTTGATAGGTCGATTAATAAAAATATAAAAATTGGATTTTCGCGGGAAGTTGTGAACAAATTATATGGCCACATGTTGCAGACTCCCCACCTACCCACCAACCGGTAAAACTGTTGATAATAATAGTAATACTTTTATTATTATTGTTTTCTGAAAATATTTATTTTCAAAATCTGTTTTTTATTTTTTTCAATATAAATTAATATGATGAAAATGAATATCAAAAAATATTTTTGTCTGTAAAAGTAAATAATTAAATTAAAATTCACAAATTTTTATATTTTTTATTTTTCAAAAAGTTTGATTTTGAAAATGAAATGAAATAGTGTCAATGCCCTATGACAATTATAAAGATGTTTAAAATGGTTACAAAATAAATATAATATTACCTAATTAAAAATATATATTAATATTAGAAAAATCTACATGTACAAAAGATAGACAAAAGAAAATGGGCAAATTACATAAATAGTCCCTATAGTTTCGGGCTTTGTCATTTTGGTCCATGACTTTTCAATTGTGACACATTTGATCCTGAATTTTGAATCTTGTTTCAAATAAGGACAATTGAATATATAATTAAATTTTTCAAGGGTAAATTTGTCAATTTGATAAAATATAAACTAATTTGACAAAAATAAATGTCAAACCAATATTTTTGAATTTTAAAAAATTATTTCTACCTACTAAAAATAAAATTAGGTAAAATTGATAAATTTTTTAGACATTTATTTATTTGTTTTACCAAATTAATTTTTATTATGTGTTTGGATGAAAATCATGTAAAATTAATTTTAAAAAATTAATCATATAATTTTTATTAATTTTACATAATTTTATCATTGGTGGATAAAAATGATTTTTAAAAAATTAAAAATATTTTTTTGACATTTATTTTTGTCAAATTAGTTTATATTTTATCAAATTGACGATTTTAGCCTTGAAAAATCTAATGATATTTTCAATTGTCCTTGTTTGGAACAAGATTCAAAATTCAAGGTCAAATGTGTCACAATTGAAAAGTCATGGACCAAAGTGACACAAGTTCCAAACTATAAGGACTATTAGTGTAATTAATCCAAAGAAAATTTACACTTTTTGATTGATTAATGTAATTAATTCTATTTACCCTCTAAGAAAAATGTAATTAATTCTATCTAAAGTGAGAATTCACTATTTTAACAATATGTAAACCAAATTAAACTCTAGACAATTGCTTGTAAAAAAAAATTATAATATTAGACGCAGTATTCAAACTCATTTGTGTGCACATAGCACAAACTTTTAATATTTTTGTTGGACATAAACTTATTTGAAAATGATATTTAAAAACAATGGTTTGATGACATAAACCTATATGGTATTATTATTATTATTATTATTAAGGAAATTCTACTTATACTATACACATCCCTTTTCCGAAGTGTATCATATGCACTTCTCATTATACCATTTTTCTTCTTTTATTATAATTCATAAGATTTTTGATTAAGTATAAGTGGTGTTTGATTATGATATTTTTTTTTTTTAGTTATAATTCAAAAAGTATGGAGTTATATCACTTTCTTCTTTAATTATAAAGTGCATATGGTATATATGGTGTATCATAATCTTTCCCTTATTATTATTATTATTATCAATATTAATATGGAGTTATTACATTTTAGTGGTGTCAGAAATTAAAAAAACTTATATATGAAAAAATTTACAATTTTAAATATTAATATGTATAAAATTTCTCACAATCGTGAGAGTCATTAATGTTTGAATTCCTTTTATTTTTATTTTATTTTTTACTTTTTAATCTATCTTCCTTGGCTCTAGTCCAAAAACTAGAATACCAGTGACACATTTTGGTGTGTTTAGTAACAATTTAATTGTTTATTGCTATAATTTAACTTTGATTTTATTATTGTCACGAGTTTGTTTCATGTGGTTGGCGAGGCCGTCTTCTAATATTTTTGTATTTTTGCCCATCTCTCTGTTAAACATAACTTCAAAGTGTTTTAAATGACAATCAAATAAATCCTTTTAATTTTAATAAATTCTTTAACAGTAACTTACAAATGACTAGGTGTTATATAGAGAACAATTATTGGGTCAAAAAACATAGAGAGACACATTAAATTAAGATTCTACCAATGCACGTGAAGTATCACCAATGATTTTCTAGAGTGTTTTTTTTTTTAAGTTTTTTAAAGTGGTGTATTGTGTCTCAACCACATAATGCACCACTCTAGAAAACTTTAGGAAAAAAAACTCTAGAAGATCCTTGTTCCGTGAGCATAGTTTAGTAAGTAGAATTTATAAAATATTTTGATACTGAAACACATATAAAATCGAAATTCAAACAATTTTAATGACATGATTTACTTATTTTCCTTCAAAAGCAAATGTGTGCAATTCTTATTGTGCAATATAAATTTGTTATTCAAGTGAGAGTCGTTTATGATTGTCAAAACATACTGAGCACGTGATTTTCCTAATACATTATTTTTATATTTGTGTTTTGAGGATGACTAGAAAATCATACTGCTTTTACTATTACTTGTCATTTCATTTGGAATAATAGAAGGCCTTAAAACAGGATAGTGGGAATGAATTTTCTTTGTCATATTGAACCGAGTTTTCTCCGAACTCATCCATTTAATACTTAATTTTAATTAGTAACACTTCCTAGCAACGTCGCACAATATTATCATTGTATTTAAATATCTACTCATACATACAAATAGCAATCAACCAAATTATTTGACCTATCTAGGAATTAACCATAGTCAATACTGTACTGCTCTCTCTCTCTCTCATTGACTTGATTTTGCAACTCACATAATCCAAATTAATATAAGTTATGGTATGCCGTTGGTTTATTGTGACTTGCAAGGCATTGACCTCTTTTAGTGCAAACAAATTTTATTTTTTATTATTTTTGGTTACAAAAATACTCGAGGAGGGAACTAGAAGAAGATTATAGGGGAGTCACGGCCTCCTGTTTCTGTAAAAAAATACTATTTGTGATAGTATTTTAAAAATATATATACCGTTTTATATATAAAATGGCTGTCCAGTATAAAAATATATATCTCATTCTTTTCCCATCTTATATTCTCTTTTTATTTTGTACAAAAAAAACTTTATCATTCTATTAGAGATTACTTCTATAGTATATAATTTTCTTCTCTATGTATACGTATAATTTATATATATCATATTATATATATATATATATATGTGTATTTGTATATATAGTGAAAATAAATTATTGTTCTTTTAACCCTTCCAATAATAAAATTCGGATTCTGTTTTTAACTCCTCCAATAATAAAATTCGGATTCTGTTTCTAATACTTGACTTTGTTTGTGCAAAGAAGAACTTCAATTCAATCGGTTGTGAAATTTTTTTAAAAAAAATCCAACATGATTGCATCACTCAAATGGAGATGTTTCGTAGAAGTAAAAATATATATACAATAATAATGTCAGAAACACAAAATAATTTGTAAAAAATATTGTAGAAGGTTGGGCTTGGTTCACATTCAAAAAACATATCAACATAATATGCACTTTTATGACCCATTTTGTATTCTAAAATATAACCTTAAAATATGATTTTGGGAAAATTATATTGACACCTCCAGAGATTTTTATTTAATACAGATTCTTCCTTTACATTTGAAAAATTACATTTTCATCCATGAGATTTGTAATTTCATTACAAATTGTCCCCTAGATAGCTGATGTCATGCCCTAAAATTTTTAAATGATTATTTTGCCATTTTCCCTACCATTTGTTCTTCCTATCATCATAACTATATTTTACAATTTTCTATCATTAAAGTTTACCTGAACATATTCTTATCGAGTAATGATATACAAACATAAATTTGATATAAAATTTTCAAACACAATGATATAACTTAATAGTGACCTTATTTCACTTTAAAACAAAATATCCATAAACATGATTTATATTTACAACATCACTATTACAATATTTTTATGATATTTTTTGTATAAATTTTTATGTATGAATATAATTTTTTTATTTTATTTTCACTCTCATTTTTTTTCTCAGATATTCACTCACATTTATTATAGTATTATCAAACACTATCATTCATATTTATTAGGAAAATTTACCAATAAATCCTATTTCATAAACTCTTAAACCAATTAGTCCCAACTTTATTCTTTTGTTCGGGTAAGTCCTATCAGTGGGGAAGTTTGTTACTTGTTGATCCTATTTTCCATATTTGGTCCTATTTTCCAATTGCCCCTCGCAATGTATGTGTGTATCTGTGTGTGTATCTGTATGCGTGTGTATCTGTGTGTGTGTGTGTGTGTCTGTGTGTATCTGTGTGTGTGTGTATCTGTGTGTGTGTGTCTGTCTGTGTGTATCTGTGTGTGTATCTGTGTGTGTGTGTCTGTCTGGGTGTGTGTATATGTCTGTGTGTGTGTATATGTGTGTGTATCTGTGTGTGTGTGTCTGTCTGCCCCTCACAATGTATGTGTGTATCTGTGTGTGATAGGAGAAAGATGGGACTAAACGGTTTAATAGAATAAAAATGGGACCAATTGGTTCATAAGTTCAAATTTTGGGATTTATTGGTAAATCTCCCTATTTATTATAATATTACTAAATTTTTATATTTTTTATATTCGATAAATTCAAAAAAAAATTATAAAATACTACACTTCTTAAGCATATAGAAAGATTGGGCTTAGTTCACATTCAAAAAAAATCTCAAGATACTATGCACGTTTATAACCCATTTTGTATTGTAATTTTGTATTCTAAAACATAACGTTAAAATATAATTTTTTTTTGTAAAAGTTTATTCCCCATTGGTGTCATTTGATGTTGCAACTTAAATGTGATTCATTAGACCATCTCCAATTATGTATCAAGTTTATCATCAAATTTAAATTTGATAAAAAATGATTTCTTCTTTAGTTCCAATGGTTTTATCAAATCGGTATCAAATCCAATATTTTACTTTTTTTTTTTTGTCAAATTGAGGACCAATATATATTTCATCAAATCACTATTCACTGTCGTTGGATTTTCATTACCGGATGTTCTCCTAGATGACCACCTCAAGACAAAAGTTTATGAAAAAATTACACTGACCGGTCGATCTCTTGGTTGTCCACCCCGATCGACCCTCCAGTTGATCACCTTAAGAAAAAAAATTGTAAAAAATTTGTATTAACAGTTGACCGACTGGATATTCGCCTGGTCGTTCAGTAGTTTGACGAAGTCGCAAAACTCTCCATTAAAACACTTAATATTAAAGATACTTTTTTTTTTCAAATTTTTACTCAAATTTAGGCATAGTTTGGGAAGTTGGTTTTGGTGGGGTTATGGGCTAAAATAGCCATAAAAAATTAAATAAGTTATTTTAGTTACAAAAAATAAAATATCAAATCCAACCGATAATCATTACACTCATCTCTCACAAAAAAAATCAAAAAAGTTAAAAAATACTTCTTAAATCAGGCTTTTTAGCCCAAATTAAAATAGCTAAAAAATTAAAAAGCCAAAAAATTAACCAACTTTTCAAACGGATCAATAAAAAAATTTAATACACAGTTAAAAATGCCTTAATAGTAGTGCTCAATCAATGCCAGCAATATTGGGTGTCATTAAGAGGGAATGTTCAAATCACCTCGAAAAGACAAATATAGAATTGTGACTAATTTAAGAGTTGTTTGGAATGGCTTAAATAAGTGTATTTTTTATTTTTTTATGAAAAAATATATAAAAAAGTAGAGAGGTGATGTGATGAAAAAAAGATAAAAAGATGGATTATTTGGGACTTTCCAAACTTGACCTTAGTTAATTAAAAAATAAAATGAATTAAAAAATTAATAAAATAAAATATTATATTTAAATTATAATTGTTTTATGTTTTTCATACAAATTATAAAAAAAATCAAAGTTCTTATCGAACGGAATTGTTTTAGTTAAGCTAAAATAATCAAAAATTCAAGATAAAAAAGTTTTTTCCAAATGAAAGCTTAGAAAAAATTTTAGAAAAACGTTCCAAAATCACTTTTATTTTTATTATGCATCAATCAATAATTTTTTTTTCTCTTTTCTCTATTTTTCAATAATTTTTTTTTTCATACCCATCTATTGAACTACAAAAAATATCAAATTATTCGAAATTTCAAAATTATTTTTAAAATATACAATCAAATAAAATTTTAAATTTTCTAAACTCTCTAGAAAATTAATTTTGAAATAATATCTCAAAACACAAACTAAACAAGGTAAAATTTAAAATTTATTTGGTTATGAGTTTTGAATTTTTTTTTTTCAAATAGTTGAGTTGAATATAGGTTTAAAAATTTAAAACCGAATAAGTTTTTGAATTTTGGACTCTCAAATTATGATTTGAAAGTAAACTACCAAACGGGGTCACAGAAAATAATTTTTTTTAAAAAAAATCTTTCAAAATATATTGAGTGTGCCGAGACACATGAACATTGGACTTGAATATAATAAATCATTGTCGAAAATAGGAGATTTATTATTTTTTTTACGGTGGTGCTACATGTATCAATTAGGCTTCATTTGAGAATATGCTAGTAATTTTTTGGCTATTTAGTTAAAATATGAGCTAAAAAAAATTAGTATATTTTGGATGATTTTTTGACTTTTTACGAAAAGATATACAAAAAGTAAAGAGAAAAAAGAATTTTTGACTTTTTGGCATGGGTTGTTGGCTTTTTGACATTTTTAGTAACTTTTTGACTTTTTAACTAAACGGGTTGGTTCCCAAACGAGTCCTTAGTGTACTAATTAGTGTACCAACACTAGTTATAACATTATTATTAACCTCACTCATTAATTACATTACAAATATCAATTTTTTTTTTTGAATTATACCACATAATTAATTAGTGCACTAATTAATACATAAATTGAGACATATAACATTATTTTTTTAAAAAAAAAAAATAATGCTGAGAAATCTTTGGTGCACAGCTGATGACGGAGTTTCCAATATTGACTTGGAAATCAAATATGGCTGGCATTTATATAATCTTTTTTTAATGTTGACAGTGTTTGGGTTACGTACGTTAGATTCACTCACTATTATAGATTGAACTTTCAATTTTTATATCAATTCCCGACTGAAAAGAAAAGAAAAAAGAAAAAGTAAAAGAAAGAAGTAATCACTATCGTTGGTTTCAAAAAATGGAGTCAACTTTTTAAAAAATTAAGTGCTTTTGTTTTTAGTGTTTTTTTTTTAAATAAATATTTTTTTTTAAGTTTTTTACTTTTTAAATACATTTAGTCTAAAAATATTTTAAAAGTATAATATTTGTGAAATTTTAAAAAAAATATATAAAACTTTAATATATTTTCTTATTTTGTTGTATTCAATGAATTTTTTAAAATATTTTATATAAATTTTTTTTTATTTTTCAAGTATATTAAGATTAAGTGATCTAAAAATTTGAAAAAACTTAAAATATTTTAAAAAATCATTAAAAATATAAAAATATGATTTAAAAATTATTTTTGAAAATTCAAAACCAAACTAGATAAATGATTTTAAGGATTATTTTTTGGCAGGATGGCTCGTAACCTATAGTCCGACCAAGTAGATTTTTATCTGGTCTAAGGTTGTACCGTTATCTACCACCGAGGATGATGGCCTAGTGGAGAAGGCATCATTCTCCACAAGCGTGACCTAGGTTTGACTCCTAGGGGAAGTGAAATGCTAGGTAATTTTAGCGATTTTCTGCGGAGATCTCGCTTTATGCTCCGATCGAATTCTGGGTTCGTTTGTGGCATATGGTTGAGCTCCGCTGGTGTCTCGGTGGTGGGTCCCTTCCTATGGGTTGGGTTCGTTTGGTGTATTGGTGGTGGGTCACTTCTTATGAATTGTGTTAAATTAAGCTGACAACCGATTATTCCGAAGCTTGGGCCTACAGATATAGTGATGATATCTCAAAGTATCATTTTTTTTTTGATTTTTTTTTTTTAAATATGATTTTTTTTTAAAAATAGGTTTTAAATATTGACTCGCTCAAGGTTCTCTAAGCATTTCACATGTTTTTTCACTTCATTTTTTAACTTGATAATTGAAATGTAAAGTTAAAAATGAAGGATTGAATATCATTATTTTAAAAAACCTAAAATTCACATGTTGAAAGAGAAACAAAATTATTAAAATAGTGATATCATGTATTAATGATAACGCGATATTATTATCAAATTAAAATTTTTTAATCAAATATGTGCTTTCTCACTATGTATATGTATCAATTAGTAGATTGAATTAGACAATTAATTATATTTATAAATTGAAATTTATATTGCATGAATAGTCGATGCTATCAATCATGATATGATATTACCGCTGTATTTATTTTTCACTTGAACTTTAAATTCATGTTCGGTTTGTCCAATGTTTATTCCAATTTCTATGCGAATTTACGGTTATGATCTTGTAATAACCGAATTCAAACTTGGGTTAGCTAATCGGATCACGGATAATTTGTTCACAGTCCGATTAGAATTATCTTGAATACCGTACATAATTCAAATCAACCTGATTCTAAGATCTTGTTTGACAATTACAAATTTTAAAAAAATTATTATAAATTATCACATTTTTTTCTTTACTTTTCTACCAATCTTTTCCTAACATGCCAAGAAAATTACTAAAAGGTCCGAGTCTTAAATCAGTTTTACTTGCACCCTAAACAAAAATTTCTAGGTTTTGTATATTCGAGATTGAATTTCAACTATCCCGACAATTTTCCGGCCAAATCTTCGGTCAGATATAGTTCTACAATCTGTAAATTCTCAATTCTCGTACAAATTTCAAATTCAATCAATGCTTTCAAATTTAATTTGTGTATATATGTGTGTGCGCGCGCGCGCGCGCAATGCTTCTATATTGCAGGGTTTGTTGATTTATTGAGCGTTGAAAGAGGATTGAGACATGGAAACAGATGGGTTTGAGCAATTGAAGAATAAGATACAGGAATGGTTACAAGAAGCAGAAAAATTGATTCATCAGATACCCCAAACTCAACTTTATGCCGAAATTATTCACCCAAAACTTTATGCAGCAATTGGGGTTGTGTTGCTGACTACCCCTTTGCTCTTATTAGGTAATAATAATAATATATATGTGAATAGTTTCATATTTTAGTAAATTTTGGTAGTTTGTTTATTATTTTGTTGACATTCTGGGTTTTGTAGAATTTTGTGTAATATTTGCAAATTAGCATTCTTTGTTCCCTGATAATATGTCACGGTATTATTAATATTTATGTGGCATTGAGTTGTTGTGATGAATTGAATGGATTGACTTCACTAATTTGTAAATCTTTAAAAATTAAAGGCTTGAAATTGCATTGTGTGTCATTATCAGTCCAAAAAGAATTGTGATAAATTGAATGGATTGATCCACACTAATATATAAATGAAAATAGCAGTCTTGAAATTACATCGTTGTGTGTCATTATCAGTCCATAAACAAGTGCGTTGTTTCGCAAGCATGTAGTTTGATTTGTGCTTGAAGGCAAGAGGCCTATTAGGAAAAAAAAATCCTTTCAGATCTGTGGTAAACTTTATGAACATTAATAATTAAAGTCTTAAACTTTTTCATGAATTTATGATTATTTGGTGAAAATACCACTGAATTGTAATTTCCCCAAAACAAAGAAAGACCAAGTTCATAGGATAGTCATACTTTACAATGAGCTGTCAGCAAAGTCTCTGTTTATTTTCTTAACTTACCCTTTTGGCAGAAAAATTACATAATATTGCACATTTACCCAGCAATTTGTCAAAAGGACATGTTTACATTAATTTAGATTTATGTGTTTTATATTTATAGGGTGTGACTAAAAACCTTGGTTGCTTGACAGCATCACTCGCATTCTTTACTTCTTTTTATTTTTCTCCAATATTTGATTTTGTTGTTTTGACATGGTATAAACCTTAAACAATGTAAGGCTAGTAGTTAGAACTTGAGTTTCTTAATATTTGACGCAAAATCTAGGAGCTGCTCTCAGTGATCTTCAAATCAAGGAGTTGCATGCACTCTGACTTGTGCGAAATCAATTAGTTTTTGTTGGCAAAAAAATTGTACTTTTTAATAAATACTCTCTCTCTCTCTCTCTGTCTGTCTTGTTTTGGTGATATAAAATCACAGTGAAGACTTCATTGTCTTGTTTTCTGTTTTAAATCAGAGTCAAGACACTATACTCTGATGTCATTGTGAAGTATTTTCTTTTTCAATTGAATGTTAGAACTTTGAATCTTACTTAGAAATCCCTTTCTCCTGCTTCACTATGCTGTTTGTTTGTTAAAAAGCACAAAAGCTGACACTATTGTTCTGACTGGGCTTAGTGGAAGGGGAAGAACTGTTCTTTTTCATCAAGTAAGCTATCTGAGTAATGCTTTTGTTGCCTAATTTGTACTGATTGACAGTTATGTCAATGCTTTATTCTATTAACAAGAAGAGTTACATGGATAGAAGGTGATGAGTTACTCCTTTCTTGAACCCATCGTCTGAGAGCACTGATGCCGGGTTGAGCTTAAACTATGATGGCACTTTTGTGCTACATTCTGAAATGAGTAGTAAGGTAATATATTTCACTTTGCTATGTTGAAACAAGCATTAATATAGTTTTGTTTTGTTTTTTTGTTTTTTTAACTTGCAAGTTTCTGGTACATATATTAAAATGTCATTGATTGCAATTTGTTTCTTCCCTCCCTCATTTTCTTGTCTTTATTTGTCATTGACAGAAGGAAAAAATAAAGCCTGTTAACATTGTTGATGGGCATTCTTGTCTTCAACCCAAACTAGATGAGTTCTTGCCTCAAGCAGCTGGCATGGTTTTCGCAGTGGATGCTTTGGAATTCTTGCCTAACTGTCGCGCAGCTTCCGAGTACGTGCGGAGTAATTCATCATCAGACATGTTATCTTCTACTTGCATTTCTTGATGATCCCACTTGCTTCCAATACCCGAAAACGACATTGATCTCTTATTTGGGCACCTGCAGCCAACACAAATGTTAGGAATCCATTAAGTTGGAGAGAGAGAGAGAGAGAGTCTTTAGGTCATATTAGGAGGTTTATGTCATTGATGGTGTTCCATTGCAAATGCTAATTGGATATTAATTGTAGTTTGTACAATCCTTGATTTGCCTTTGATTTTAAGCAATTCCAATTTATAATCTTAGGAGGGGGTTAAGTGATTTTAAGTGATTTTGATCGCTGTTAATGGCCCTAAATTGCATGCAAACCTCTTTATCTCTAAATTCTTAGGTACCATTATCAGAGAGCAAGAGTGAAAATCTTTATATTACTAGTAATATTTATGTATTAATATAATTCAAACATTTGGTTTGGTTAGAATACCCTACAAATGATATAATACTATTATTTTGTGAGCTCATCTATTTGTTTTGTTGTTTAGTGAGTCACATTCTTCCGGGAATGATGAGAGATTGCCACGGCAAAAGTGTGTCAGTCTCATTTCGATTTGAGGATCAAATTAAAAACTACATTTTCATTCTTGTACACACTCAAACAATGGAATAAAAGAGATTTAGAATGAGATTCTTATTCCATCTCTCCATTCTTGCCATCCAAATATGGCCTAAAAGAAATTAAAACCCATAACAATTTATAATAAACAACTAGTTTCTTTTGCTAATCATGTACTAAACACATAATTACAAGATAATTACAAGATAAAGTGAGTCAGGGATTCCTAAAACTTTGTTGTCAGAAAACATATGAAACAACCTAAATTTACAGACCAAGTCAATCAAACACTAAACATGGTTATGTCAAACTGTTGCCAAGATGAACATAGGTGAACCAATGTCAAACTCTCCACTGTGAATGGCAACCAAAGCAGCCTCTTCTTCTTCCTCATCCACACCACAGTACTCACTCTCTTCCATAGGCCTAAACCAGTAAAACATCACCACATACAGCACAAAACTTGCACTCTCCTCTGTCACATTACTCATCCATTGAAACTCATATGGAGCATTCATTCTAATGGCAAACACAAGAGACCTCGACACGTATACATACACGAAAAACACCATGTAAAAGTCTCTGAAAAGCCTCAACTTTGTCAGATTCAGAGCTGCCTTGCCATCTTCCATGGCAGTTTGTTTGAGTGTGTTGATTCGCCATGCCATGGGGAGAGACGCCATGAAACAAGTAGTTATGTCAATGAGCAAAAAAACCCAAACCCAGATCACCCAACCCTCCAAAAATGGCCCCGTGTTGTTGATTACAATCCAAGCTATGTTGGAGAGGACTTGGAGTAGTATCCCAATCATCAGCAACAGGATTTCCATCTCTTCCAAGCACGGTTTCACGACCGACCAACCTGAACCTATCAAAGTAAGTACAGTGAACAATAAGAGTGCTCGAGTGGATTGAAATGTGTAAAATAGGACATCCCATCCATGTGGTGTTCCTGTGATTTTAACATATTGCTTGTTCTCTGCTGCACATATCATGTTCAAGGTCTTGAAGAGAAGCAATGTGGTCATTAGGAAATGTATTTTGTGAATGAATGACTTGTTTTTGAAACATGTGAATAACCATAGGACTAGAAGAGGGAAGTAGAGGAGGGAGGAGATGAAATAGACAGTGGGTAATTGAGTTTGGCCTGAGGAGAGATAGTCCTTATTGCCATTTGAGTCGAAATTGAAGAATTCGATGTGTACTAGCATGGAGATGGAGGTTTGTGGGTTGCAATTGGAAAAGAAGAGGTCGTAGCCATTAGGTTTGGTGATTGGGAAGGTTTGGTTGAAAGAGGAGGTGGGAGAGAGAGAGATGTTATGGAAGTTGAAGAGGAGGTTGATGTGGGGGTTTTGGAGGATGCAAAGTTTTGGGTTCTTTTCAATGTCAAGGATGTCTCGGTGTAAGTCTATGGGGGAAAGAAAGAAGGCTAGGAGGGAAAGGTTGAGCGGTGTCGTTGTGGAAGTGAAAGAGATGGAGGAGAGAGTGATGGAGAGGTGGCCAGTGGTGGTGAAGCCGAATTCCTCCAAACGGATGGCATGGCGGGAGTCTGAGGAGATTGTTATGTTTTTTATCTCCGCGGTGGAGGAGGGAAGGTGGAGGAGGAGGAGGAGGGTGACGAGTGTGAGGTGGCAGTGGAGGGTGGTTTGATGCATTGTGGGAAATTTGGTTTTAAATTGAGAAGAGTTGGTAGCAGTGGCGGCGGAGGTGGTGGGAGACTGCAAGAAAGGATGTGTTTGATGGTGAAAATTTGAGAGAAGTTGCTTCCATTTAGAAGGTGATCACAGTGATCTTTTAAGGCCTCTTAGAGGACTTGCTTGGTATTATTGGGGCCTTCTCTAAACAGAAAGTTAGGTGGCATCTTATAAAATGTTCCATGGATGACAGAGATAGTGTCTAACATTAGTAAAAGGTCTAATGTTGCCTATGAGGGGTATTAAGGTATTGATAAGTGCATTGCACAAGGTCCCCCCCCCCGAGGCCCCCCCAAAAAAAAAAAAAATTACTGTTTTACAGTTCACATTTGCTAATATTTTTTGATATCATTTCCCAATTCAAATTACTAATGGGGATAAAACTTTAATTTCTACGCTTACTTTCAATTATAGTTATCATTTCTAGTAATTACTCAACCTCCTCGTTACTCTTAGAAACAAATAATTTCGTATCGATAAACAACCAACCAATTTATCCAACCATATTTCCATTTTTACTACAACTTCTTAATTGACTTATTTTTTAAATTTGTTTTATGCTTACTATTTTTTCTTTAAAAAATTTGAATCCATCTAAACTAGACAATTTTAAACAGGCCAACTTTTGTAAAACTTTTTTGGAAAAAATTAGACTTATTTTTTAGTGAGTTTTTTTTTCTTAAATAAAAAAATTCCATTTATTTTTATTCTTTTTTAGACTTGTCTAGTATATACTGGGGAAAAAAAAAAAGAAGAAAAAAAAAAGAAGAAATCTACTAAAAAAAAAAAAAACAGATTATAATAAGCTGATGGAATTACAGCTTGTTTGAGCTAAGATAACATAAAACAGCTTCCACCAATTATGATACTTACATATTACTTGCACCTGTACACTTGCTAACAACCTTGACTTTCTGCTCAGTCAGACATTCCCAATGTTGGGAACCTCATATTTGCAATCCATCTTCTTTCTAAATAAATTTACATATCATGAAATTCCAATTTCTTGCCCCAAAATCTACCAAACTTTAGGTCATCACCCTGCTAAAACTATCCTCTATCACATACTTCACCAAACAAACAAAACAATTTCAACTTTCATTGCTCACTTGGCCGCTTTGCTATCAAATCCACAGGTAAAGATCCTAGAGGGACTGACGACTCCATTTCTTCAAAATCACTGAGATAATATTCGTCGTCAACATCATCGTCGTCGTCGTCATGATTATAATCCTCATCTTCGCCATGATCTTCATTATGAAATCTGTACTCTGCCCTTGAACTATCAGTTCCATCTTCACCTGACAAGACTACCGCTGGATAGGAGTGCTCTGTCGCCTGTGATAAGTCTTCGAATTCCTCCACTTTCTTCAAAAGATCGTCAGGGCCAAGACCTATCTTGTCTAACAGCAATGCCTTGCTTGTTTCGATTGCACGCTTCCACAGGGACATCATTTTAGGGCTCGAGGTTACCGCGTTCGGGTCTGAATCTGAAATATGACAATCAGCATTGCAAAAGCATCAATGAATCAGAGCCAGAACATAAACAACATAAGTCCTCAACCAACAATAGTATAAGAAATGGTTTAAAGATTAACAAGAAAAGTTAGCAACATTACTGGTAAATCTAGTTACTAGTAAACTTGAAAATAATGAAATGCATTTGCATGTGGGTTCGATATGCCAAAGGTTTGGTCTGGACCAAATCTACCGCTTCAGATCTTCATCCAATGAAGATTAAACTGGGCGTTTTTTTGTTTTTTTTGTTTTTTTTTTTTTTTGTCTCTCTTGCAATATTTAATTTTCATATTTTGCGACTCAAGTCAATCAACTGGGTGAAATCAAATTGTCGATTGAATCTGTATACAAGGATGGAATCTACGAGGAATAAAGAAGATCTAAGGTTCTTTTGACATAAAATTCTAGGAAGATGGAGATATTGATCATTATGTCCTTTAGAGATCTTTTGACAAAAGAACAATTGAACTGAACGCCATCTCTTGCATACCTGAACAATTGAAACCATTTGCAGCATCACTATCAGCGGAACTTGAAGCATAGGGAGCTTGTGGGTACATTGATTCCCAATCTTGTCCCCTCCACATCAATATCTGCTCATTGTCAAAAGACAATAGCACACAAGGAACCAACGAGTGTGAGGTGGCAGAAGGAGAGCGAAAGTAAGCAAACAGAACATAGAAAATTACAATGAAAGTACAACGGAAAGTATTACTGATCCATTGGTACTTGAGAGGAATATATCCTAGAAATAATTTTATATTATTACACAAATTTTTAAAGACTTGTCTGAGCTGCTCTACATAGTGTTACATATGAATATACAATAATGTATATTTCTAAGGCCTCGTTTGGGAACAGACTTTTGAGTAATTTTTTGACTTTTTGGCTAAAATATGATGTAAAAAAAACTAGTATGTTTGGAATGACTTTTTGATTTTTTACGAAAAAATGTGCAAAACTTAAAAAGAAAAGAGAATCTTTGACTTCTTGGTATAGGTTGTTGGCTTTTTGATTTTTTTAGTGACTTTTTGACTTTTAGGCTAAAAAGTGATGTCGCCAAACGAGGCCTAAGTCTTTTTCTCATATTTCTATTTTGCTCAAGACTATGCAAGCTATTGAAAGACTTTAAACACCTAGGAGTTGCAATTCCCATAATTTCCTAGGGATTGTGGAAGAAAAAGAAAGAGATAACAGAGCTCTCACATGTTGATACATGCACTTCAATGGGTGAGCCAAAGCTTGTCACTGAACCGATTTAGGTAATCAGCCTAAGCCATGATAAGATTGCCTTACCAATTTGAAGCTTGAGGATGTACATAGAAATCAGACAGCATCATAGTGATTCATCTCTTGATTTTGTTAATTGTTTGATCTATTTTAGTATCATGTTTTGTTATTAGTTGTTAGGCAAAATCATTTGACAAATCAAATAATCAGGTCTAAAATCAGGCTGCATGGATAATTAAAAGAAAAACACACAAACCTTCAGCTTAGCACCTATCTTTTTGTAGTCACTTGCATGCATCCCCTTGCAGTCAATCTTAACTAACGGACTTCCTTCAAAAGCATTCCTCACATCTCTCACTAAGGAAGTGTACACTCCATTTTTCGCTGCATCAGGAAGGGAGGTAAGAGTAAATATCAACAACCTAAGAATATGAACCAAATTGTATAAGTCCTATGATGTGTAAATATATGCTCAAACATGAGCATATACTAGTACAATATCAAAATTTCTAGCTAAATGCCTCCCGGAATATTCACACATGGAAAAAAATCATTAAAATTAAGAAATGGAAGCAACATATATGATTACAGAGACATATGGGTAATGAAACTAACTGAATCTAATGAATAATAAAATGCCAATCAATGTAAATCTTGTGAAACAAAGAGTAAATAAAGTTCAAATCCTATCCTGTGAAATCGGGATACGAGCAATAATTTGGGTCACCCAAAGGCAGGCTAGAGTGAAATAGTAAATAATCTATTGCATACTCTAATAACATGTTAGAATGTTTGGAGTATCCAACCAAAAGGCTAGTTGGTTACGGGTGGATGTACCTCTAGACTGGACAAAGCTTGAGTGGCTTAGAGAACCCGGTGATTAAAAAATCAGAGAACAATCATTTAACAATTGGCAGAATAAGATTGTATACCTAATTTACAAATTGGTAGAAGGTTTTTTCCTTTCTTCCGTAACTGATCTGCTTCAACTTTAGTCAAACCTACTGGAGCTTCTTGTATGAGCTTTGGATAAATCGGTGCGGCTGGTTTCCAGAGCATCACCGGGTACTGTGGACGAGTGCGATGATCATAGTTTCTGCCACGGAAAAGATAAACTATACCCCCAACTCGATGGATGATCTTTCCACCAGTCTTTTCCTAGTAATATAAGGAATTCAACAGATAGTCAACGCAATCGTCACCAGGGAAAATGATTCTATGACAATGTTCAAGATCCCAAACAATGTGCCAGGTACATCAAGTATCGCATATATGAAGACAGATACAAACATTACAGTTACTGACACGCCTCTCTTCATGTTTAATAGTATAGTTAAAGCAATTCCACCCTAGTTTTTCAGAAAAACTACCTCAAGTGTTATTCGTTGCAATGTTGATCATTCCACAGGGCAAACTCATCACAGACTACACATAACGATATACACGCTTCTTTTCAGACAGGACAAAGTGGTGGAAACACCTTTCCCACAATTCTTCTAGCCATTAGGGAAGCACAGACCAAGACACACCTTTTGAAAGATTTCATAAAACATGAAATCACCAATCTAGTGTTTATAAAAATAAAAAATAAAAATAAATAAATAAAAAAATTATCTCAAAGTTACAATTTAGTATAATAGTTTTAGTCTTGGATATAATTCATAAGAAACTATGAATTCACAGTCACAACATGAGATTCAGTATCAAGAAAAGCCAAAGAATTTATGCTTAAATGGCAAACCTCAAGACAACGACAAACGTTATCCATATCGACAGTGGGAACACCCAAGCATCGAACTTTGCAAACCGGCCTTCGCTTCCAATGCGTATGAACCAACTCCAACATATTATGTGTCAATCCATCCCTGCCTACACAATTCATTCAAGAACAAAAAGTTGAATAAACTCTACAACAAATTATACCCAAATTGCCAAATTTTGAATTCAATCAACTGAACCTTACTTACCCAGATTAACCTGTCGATTACTTGAAATGTGAGGCCTTAGAAGCTCCCTTATCTCCGCTTTCGTCAATGGCTTCCCAATCACCTCCTTCCTCGGCTTCAACTCCACTGGAAAATCCCCAAGCCGGTACGGCTTGGCCATTTCCAAATGCTTCACTCCATTCATCCCCATCGGCAACGGCTCGAGCGAATCAAAAAGCCGAATCTTCTTCTCCTTCTTCTCCTTCTTCAATGGAGCTTTCCCAGTCCACGGCCTCGGCATCGAGGGCGGAGCAAAGGGCAAGAAAGCCGGCTCGCGAATGGCCAAGGGTTTGGACTTGGGGGTCTCGGAGTAGCTGTATTGGAACTCGAATGGGGCTCCGGGGAGAAGATAGGAGACGCCGGAATCGCCGACGACGACGGAGCGATCGCCGTCGGAGGAGATGACGCCTTCTCGGACTGGTTTGTAGTACTTGGAGCGGTGGTGGAAGGTCTTGAAGGCGGGGTTTGAGGTGGGTTTTGGGGTTGGGGGGGTTTGGGATTTGAGGGGTGGTGGGTATTTGGGGATTGGAATGGGGGGTTTTGGTGGTGGTGGTGATGGTGGAGGGTGGTTTGAGGGTGGGGTTGAATGGAGGGTGGAGAAGAGGTTGGGGTTTGGTAGTGTGGCAAGAATTGCCATTGCTTTAGCTTTGATTTGTATTTGATAATAATATTCAGGTTATATATATATACATATATGTATGTATAGATGATTACAGTAGTATAGTATGTATAGATTATGTTTTGATGAGGTTGTATGGAGATTTTGGTGGTTTTTTCTGTTGCAGAATGAAGAACAGAGCAAGGAAGAGAGGATAGATAGATTAGAGAGTAGAGTTTCTCAGATTTTTTTTTTTTTTTTTTTTTGGAGGATGTGGTGGGTAAGCAATGGAAAAACGGTGTCGTATAATTGTGTATGAAAAATGTTACTATTGATCATAAAATAAATTCAAATACTGCTAAATTCAAATACTACTAAAAATATAATTATAACATTATTATTCACAAATTCGATTGAATTAATTCGCAAAATTTTTTATTTTTATCTTTTACACTATTGTAATTCTTTCTGTTTTGTTTTTAAATTATAAATTTCATCTATTTAGTTTTTAAATTCTTTAATTTCAATTCATAGTCTAATTCAATTTAATAATAAGGACATTTACACACAAGTCATAATTTATAATACTCTATTAAGTCCTAACTAAATTTTTTTAGACTTTCATGTCTCATTTAATTTTTAATAGTCAGAATTGCCTTTCAAACAATAATTATTCCTCATTCTTGATTATTTATAAAGGGACATGATGATTTGATATTTATTTTGATTTTAAAAATTTTAAAATATCAACTTTCAAATTGAAAAAACTGAAAAAAAAAATGTGTACAAAAAATTAATGTGTTTTTTTGAAAAAATTAAATTTTTTTTTTGTGCAAAACTAAAAATTTTGTGTCTATAAATGAGCATGATGTTGGAACATTAATGTGAAAAACTAGAAGAAAAAAAAAACTTTAAAAATGAAAAAATTGATAATATTCTCAGTTTTAAAACTAAAAAAAAATTGATAATGTTCTCGATTTTATTAGATAGTTGAATCAAACTAATAAATAGAAAGACAAAAACGTTTAATCTCGTGTTCTGTTTTTTCATCAATTAGTGAAACAATTATATGGAATATTACTATATAAAATTGATAATGTTCTTAGCTTTAAAAATTATCAATTTTACTAAATATGACTTATTAGTTCAAAAACTCTTAAATAGGATATGAGCTATCATAACATTTGTAAATAGGATTTTTAAATAATTAACTCTAATAATAACTTAAGCATTTAGCCGAGTGATTGTATAATAACTTTTGTAATGTGAGGTTTCGGATTCAATTTTTATGAAGAGAAATTTGATATCATTTATAAGTAGTGATGGAGTGGTTAATGTAATATTTCTCATATTTATAATTACTCTTCTATTAATTGATAATAAAAAAAATTAAATTACTAATGATGAAGTAAAATTTGATATCCTTTGTATGTAAGTAGTGATGGAGTGGTTATTGGACTTAATGTAATATTTTTCATATTTATAATTACTTTTCTATCTATTGATTAAATTTTTTTCAATTAATAATGATGAAAGCCTTATCTAATAAGAAAATTAATAATTTTACCTTTTAAACAGCTTAAAATGATACAATCAAATAAATAGATTTTTTTTTTCAATCCTCATTTCAAATTAGTTAATAAAAAATGAATGTTTGATTATATAATTTAAGTTGTTAAATTTTAAAATATTTTTTTTGTCCATTAAATTAGTTTTTTTTTTCTTTTTCCCAATTAGATTAGATTATCTGAAATTAAAAAAAATAATAACTAAATAAATAATTTAAGAATGAAATTGATAAAAGGCACCAATAAATTTAAAAATGTGATGTTGTGAATTGTTTAGTCTTTTATTTTTTCTTAAGAACCCAAAGGTTCCATTAAAGTGAAAATTACGCAAAAAGATAGTCACTTTGATTTAATTTTTCAAGAATAAAAGTGTGTTTTTCTAAATATAAAATTATATATTTAGACAATCCGTATTATAGAAGTTTTAGATTTTCCCTCGTTCTAGAACAAATCTCACATTATGAACAAAAACGTAACACTCCAACAATGTAACACGATAAAAAAACATTTGTGTACTTTTTCTAAACATAATAGCAAAACACTAAAAAAAAAAAAAAACTCATTTATGTACTTGTCTCAGATGTAACACTCTAATATAACATACAAAAAAAAACTCTTTAGTATACTTTTTTCAAATGTAACACTTTAATATAACATATTTTAATGTAACACATACAAAATACTAAAAATTCTTTAGTGCATTTTTTTTTCAGACGTGACACTCACAATTTGAAATTGTATATTTGTCTAAAACTTACTAAGAAATTTTTATACTTCTTTTGGAATGATATGAAGAATTTCACATCATTTTTTTGGAATGCTATGTTTGACAAAAGCATACTCTGACATCCCCTAAAAAAATCAAAAAGTCACTATCTTATTTAAGTCACATCATCTTATTTAAGTGCCATTTTGGAAACATGGTAAAAAGCCACGTTTTTTGACAAAATGTCCAAAAACGTGGCTACCAAAAACGCCAGAAAAGCCATTTGGCAAGTGCCAAAAACGTAGCTGTAAAATTACAAATTAGGGCTTATGAAAAAAAAATAAAAAAATAAATCTTTTATGTTAGGTAAGGATATTTTGGTCATTTTAATTTGATTTGACACTATAAATAAATATTAAACTAAGAAGCAAAAAGTCAACTTTTTACCAACTTCCCAAATTACTTCCAAAAAAGTCAAAAAGTTTGGTAAAAAGCCGACTCCCAAAACAACCCTAAGTCACATTACTTCTCTACCACATCACTTCAAACCCAACCCATATTGCATAAAAAAATCAAAAAGTGCATTTATTTAGAACATCCCAAACAACCCTTTAAGAGTTTTTTTGGTGTAGCGACCCTAATTTTGTTAAGTCATTATTTATTATTATTATGATTATTATTATCTTATTTTATTTTTTTTACTTTATTAATTGTGCGGTTTATATGAGAATTTAATGTGTTGTTTAGTTAATGTGATATTTAACGAATTTAAAGTTGTAATTAATAAATTTATTGTGTTATTCAATTAATTCATATAGTTATATATTTATTTTTGTTATAAAAAAAGAGGCGTTATATATATATATATATTTAATTTTATATTTATATATATTATAATTATGTGTATTACATAATATAGTATATTATAATAATTTATTAGGGTTAGAATGAGATTAGGTTATATTATAATATAATAATTATTAGGTTATAAACAAAAGAAAGAAAAGAGATGTATTGTGCAGCGGCCAGGCACAGAGAGAGAGAGAGATTGATCATCCAAGAAAAAAAAAAGAAAAAGAGAGTGCTCTCTATGTGAGTGTGTGTGGCGTGGAAAGAAAAGAATGAAAAAGAAAAAGAAAAAAAAGAAAAGAAAGGGGGTTAGGGTTTTACTTTGATGGTTCAATTAATCTTCTAGATATTGTTTTAATCATCAAAAATAATTGTGAGTACAAAATTCACTTTTCTTTGTTTATATTTGATTCGTTATATTTATTTATTTGTATTTATTTAATATTGATTTGATTTTTGTATTGATATGAAGATGACAAATTGATTTTAATTGTTTTGATTAATTGGGTATGTAAGGTTTATGATTTTTTAGATGATTGATTAATTTTAATTACGTTGATTAGATGTATATGTAAAATTTAAGATTTTTAGATGATTGATTAATTTTAATTATGTTGATTAGACGTATATGTAAGGTTTAAGATTTTTAGATGATTAATTGATTGTAATAAATTTAATTAGTTAGGTATGTAAGGTTTGGGATTTTTTAGGTGATTGATTAATTTTAATTATGTTGATTAGACGTATATGTAAGGTTTAAGATTTTTAGATAATTAATTGATTGTAATAATTTTAATTAGTTGGGTATGTAAAGTTTGGGATTTTTAGATGATTGATTAATTTTAATTATGTTGATTAGATGTGTATGTAAGGTTTAAGATTTTTAGATAATTAATTGATTGTAATTATTTTAATTAGTTGGATATGTAAGGTTTAGAATTTTTAAATGATTGACTAATTTTTTATTTATTTTGATTAGATGTGTATGTAAGGTTTAGAGTTTTTGGATGATTAATTAATTTTAATTGTTTTGCATTAGTTAGGTATGCAAGGTTTAGGTTTTATTTTGGGTGCCTTTATTAATTCTTTGAGTGATTCTTTGATCTTCAAAAATAATTGTGAGTACAAAACCCACTTTCCTTGATTTATGTTTAATTCGCTGTTTTATTTATTTATTTATTTTTATTTGTTTGATGTTAGTTTGATTTTGTTTTACATAAAGATGATAGATTAATTTTAATTATTTTGATTAGTTGTGGATATAAGATTTAGGGTTTATAGATGATAGATTGATTTTAATTTTTTGACTAGTAGTGTATATAAAGTTTAGGATTCTTAGATAAGAGATTGATTTTAATTACTTTGATTAATTGTATAGGTAAACTTTAGGGTTTTTTTTAAATGATTGATTAATTTTAATTACTTTGATTAGTTGTGTAGGTAAAGTTTAGGATTTTTAGATGATTGATTAAATTTAATTATTTTGTTTAGTTTGTATGTAAGGTTCAAGGTTTTTAGATGATTGATTGATTTTAATTATTTTGATTAGTTGTATATGCAAGATTTATGGTTTTTGTATGGATTAATTTTATAATTGTAATCATACTCATGATTATATAAAATTAAAATTAATTAGAAATCCATAGATAAATTCCTTATATTCCACCATGACTCCATGGATTGTTGTTTTATTTGAGTGATGGTGAGAAAGAATGTATAAAAAAAAGTGAGGATTATAAGATTTATTTAAATGCCTTAGGTTTGGCATTGTTATGTTGTTCTCATGAGTGAGATGTATATATATGTTGTTGCCTCGTTCTCATGAGTAGACGAGTGCTTTGATTTGCGCGCGTACGTATATGCTAACCATCCGGGGAGTGTGAGTTAAACTTGGGACGATATCCCCGTGCAAGTTTGGCTTCGAAGCGGTGTTAGGTATACGGGAGGCACATGGGATATATGTGTAGGCCGGAAAGGGAGGGCCGAAGTGGTGGAGTTAAGGTACAAAGAATTTAATTATGAATTTATTAATATAGTGTGATTGGTATTGATTTGTACATGATAAAAAAATAGTAAACGATCTCGATAAATTATGAAATTTAAGCAGAGGCATATATACGTGATTTTGGACAACTTTTGTGTTTTAGCTTTTTATTAAAAAGATCGATTAGAACTTATAATTAGATGATCTTGATTATTGTCGGTTTGATTCATTTTAGCAAGACAGATTTTAGAGGCTGTTTTAACCCACGAAACGAGCTCATTTTTATTGGTTTCACGCAAACTGAAGTAAAACATTATTCTGCACACTTTTTGTGTTTTGAAATTTTTCGAAAAAAATTATCTTAGAGCAGTTTTGGTTCGTTTTCAGCTTCAGATTTTTCAATTGAATTCTGTCTAGATTTTTATATCAACTTTTTCTTTTAACCTGTTCAGTTTCTGTTAAATTCGTTCGCGCTGTGTTTTAGGAAATTTGATTCTGTACAACTTTCGTTCTTTGAGTTTTGATCAATTCGAATTATTTAAGTATGAAACGGTGTAATTTTATATTTTTTTTAACAAGTTACTTATGATTGAATTATACTAACTTTATTTGTTTTGCAGGATGGTGGGGCTTACTAACTTTTTATGCAAGGCGGATCCACCATATATTTTATTTCTATTTTGTCTATTTTGTAATCAATTTATATTTCGTTGTGTACGGACAAGAAACTAAATGTCACCGTATCTCGAGAAACTACCCATTCGTCTCGGTACGGCTGGAACTACTTGTCTTGTCCTGTGGTAAGAATTAAATGTATTTTTGTCTGTGTCTGGTGGACACGTGGATGTTAAATCTTGTACTCATACCAGTATACCTGTATACTGACCCGTTTTGTCTTTTGGCAACTCGGGTGCGTTCTGTTTGAGCGCAGTCGAGCTTCATTTGCAAGATTAGTTGAGGCTATGGTTGTGACAAGAAATAACTGTGATCGTAGGACATGACGTTTGGACTTCTTTTATTTTCTTGAGCTTATGGTTGATACTAGTTTATGTATTTTTTTATATGGCTTCAGTATTGGAATAATTTGGCATGATTTGTAACCGTACTTTATTTAAGTTGTTTGGACTAGTTGTTGTTACTTTAATGTTGGAGGTATTTAATAGTTATGAAATTGTGGTGGATGGTTTAGTTGGCGTTTAGTTTTTTTGTTTCACCCCTAGGATTTGGATGATGGAATATTGATTGGGGTTAGTCCTAATTTAATATTTAATTGTCCAAATTTTGGGGCGTGACATTTGGAGTGTTACATTTAGAAAAAGTACATTAAAGAGCTTTTTTTGTGTGTTACATTAAAATGTTACACTAAGGAATTTTTTTTGAAGTGTTATATTGTAGTGTTATGTTTGAAAAAAATACAATAATGAATTTTTTTGTGTGTTGCATTAAAGTGTTACGTTAAGGAGTTTTTTTAGAGTGTTATGTTTGGAAAAAACATACTAAAGAGTTTTTTGGAGTGTTACATTGGAGTGTTACGTTGAGTGTTACATTGAAGTGTTGCAATTTGAAATTATACATTTGTCCAAAACTTGCTAAGAAGTTTTTGTACTCTTTTTAAAATATTTGAAGAATCTTACATTCTTTTGAAATGTTGGAAGAATCTCATATTCGTTTGAAATGTTTGAAGAATCTTATATCTTTTTGAAATGTTTGAAGAATTTTATTTTAAGTCATTTTCGTATCCTTTTAAAATATTTTATAAATAAAAAAATTCTCATACAAAAATTCATCTCAAATTTGATTATCATAAATTGTGTACCTTATCTTTCTAATACAAAAGAAAAAAAAAAGAATATAACATAATAGAAATAAGAATATAATCGTAAATCTAATTTTTAAATAAAATATTAAATGTACATTTTCAAAATTAATAAAATTAATTGGTCTATAAATTTTTTTTTGAGATTAAATGGATCACCATTCTTTTAAAATAAGATTTATAGATAAATTATTCAATAACTATAATTAATGGAATAAAAGTGAAATAGAAAACTAATCGAACCAACATTGACTATCATAGACTTGCACTACCCAACATAACCTCTCATCAAACCCTAGTCCAAAGTCCCCGTATAAAATCCCCTTAAAATTCCCTCTCGCCTCTCCTCCATTTCAAAACCCTAATCGGCGATTCTGCAAGTGCAGAAACGATGCAGATCTTCGTGAAAACCCTAACAGGGAAGACCATAACCCTAGAAGTCGAGTCCTCAGACACCATCGACAATGTCAAAGCCAAGATCCAAGACAAGGAGGGCATTCCACCGGACCAACAACGACTCATCTTCGCCGGAAAACAGCTCGAAGACGGCCGAACCCTAGCCGACTACAACATCCAGAAGGAATCGACTCTCCATTTGGTTCTCCGATTGCGAGGAGGAGCGAAGAAGAGGAAGAAGAAGACGTACACGAAGCCCAAGAAGATCAAGCACAAGAAGAAGAAGGTGAAGCTCGCTGTGCTTCAGTTCTACAAGGTGGATGATTCAGGGAAGGTTCAGAGGTTGAGGAAGGAGTGTCCGAATGGGGAGTGTGGTGCTGGGACTTTCATGGCGAATCATTTTGATCGGCACTATTGTGGCAAGTGTGGCTTGACCTATGTTTATCAGAAGGCTGGTGGTGATTAATCCTTTGATTTCAACTTTGAATTGGTGTTTTTGTTTATGTTTTAGTGTAAAAGGTTATGGATTTGTGTTAAAGTTTGAATTTTGATGGGTTATTTCTATTCTATTGCTTTGGTTGTTAAACATGAAATGAATTCTTCTTAAATTAAACGAATCTTTGACATATGGTGATGTATTATTTCTATTGGCCTTTTTTTGGTTTGTTGATGATTTATGCCCAAACTTTGTTTTGATCTTTTTGATGAATATGTCTGAGTTGTCCTGAAACTTGTAAAAAAAACTAATGAGAATGAGGTGGGCGTTTCTAAACTTTTTATGAGACATCAATTGATTAGATACTGATATCAGATAAATATTATTGTGGTTTTGAATTATACAACACACAATTCTTTAATAGATGTATCATAAAAATGAATCATTTACGCTGACACACCTTTCCCTTTCCTAATCCTCCAACCAAAGGTAGTGAATTATAGGCGGAAATTGGTAGTCTGACAGCAGTTGGAAGTCCTGTTTTTTATTTAAATAAAAAAGCAGCACTTCTTATTTCTCTAGGTGAAGAAGGTAGCAGTACGTCTTATTTCTAACATTAAATCAAAAGGGGTTATTTTGGGAAGATGGTTATAATCAGTATTTTGTAAGAGAGTGAAGTGAATTATAATTTGAAAAGCGGATTGTAACCCATTTCTCAAAAGACCCATTTCTCAAAAGACCTGTTAATGATTCTTTAGGAGTTCCTACCATGTATCTCTTCCAAACATGTGTATCAAATTCATCATCCTTTTCTGTTCTGTACTTGTACCATAATGCCAGAGCACTTAATTCTTGTGGGAGGGGGGATAATGAGAATTAGATAAACCAGAGGGGCATATGATATGAATTCAGCATAGAGGTGACCCTTTTCAAAAGCAAGAAGGTATTTTTGTGTGGTTGATTAATGCACAAGTTGAATGGTTTATTTAGATTTGTGAATTGGGCTGTTGGGTTGTTGATTTATTATGTGTAAAGTTTTGCAAGAGTTTGTGTGTGATAAAGAAGCTATGGTTTGACTCTAAGATCTTGTAAGTTGTGAGTTCCTTCAACTATAGTCTGTAGGCTGTGTTTGGATTAATACTTTTTCATTTTTGAGGTGCTTTGTTTTATGTTACTGTTGATGTTAATTTCCCAGTTGGGTTGTTGATGTTAATTTCCCAGATGTGCAGATTTTCACTAGTGACTGTCTGAGGTCATTCACATCTTTAATTACATTTTGCATTTTGTTTCAACGTAGTTTTTAGTTCCTTTGAGGAACAAATTGTCCTTTCTATGTAGTGCTTTTCACTTGTGTACAATTTATGAACAACTGCTTCATAAATCCCAGTTTCAGAACCCTATGTTCCCAAAATTATGAAAATCTTAGATCAGGAGGATCCAATATTTATGAATTTAGGTAATAAATAGCTGTTCTTCCCTAAGCCAATCTTTAGGCCCCAGAAAAAATGAATTTGAAATAAACTTGTTATTTTTCACATCTATTTAGTATCTCTCTCTTTCCCCTCTCTTTGTGTCAATCATCCCCTAGATTGACTCCGCTCGTGTAAGGGCCTCTCTCTGTCAACCATCCCCAAGCTTTGGGGGCGGAACTAGGATTCCTTTGTTAGGTCAGGAGTCTGTTTAGGTTAAGTCCTAACCCAAAACCAAAATTTAACCCCCAACATCAATTTATTATTTTTTGATGGGTTAATCAGGAGCCCCTTTAATGAAACAGGTTCAAACTTCTAAAGCATGTATGCAAATATTAAAAATGGCTGCCCCAAAATAAAAAGTTAGGCCCACTTGTATTTTTTTGACAGATAAATATTTATTTACTTTTTCTCTTTGTCTAACCAAGAAAGAAAAACAGAGCTTCTTTTACTTAATTTAATTTTTTGCCTATCTTTTTTCTTTCATTTTTTCCGCCTCTAGAAATCCAATATCCAAACACGAAGGTTTATGAACTACAGGAATTTTTCCACACATCAAACCATTTCATGTCACCATAGGATTTTCATGCGTATACAATCATAGTTTTCATTTTTTTGTTTTTGAATATATCTGATTAGTCTCTGAACAACAGTGGAAGTAACAAAAACTTGTCTTGTAGACCACAAAGAAGGGATCTGGTCACAGGCAAGTAGGTGTTGAGCATTAAGGGGTGAAAAACACAGAAAGGGATGGGAAAGTAAGCAAAGTAACATGAACAGGAGAGGGCAGAAAGTAGAGTTGAGTTGTTTTCATAGTCAATTATAGTTTCTCTCTTTCAAGTAAGACAAACCCTAATGTGTCCTCCTTTCCTTCTGCACATTAGTCTTCTAGAAAACTTCCCATGCCCTCACTTAAGGTAAAAGAAGAACTTATTGCACCTTCGCTTTCAAGGGAGAGGGGGGAAATTTATTTCGTAGTCCCAAAATATCATGAGATATTACTTTTTGTAAAGGATTCACAAAACACGCTAAGTGAATTATTTTAGTTAAGAATTGATACACATAATCAGAATCAGTGAGATAGGTAACACAAATATAAATAAAACAAGAATTACAAAGATTTATATAGTTTATCCCAAAATAAAATTATGTCCACGGTTGGTGTGATTCCACTATAATATGAAAAGAGTTACAATATAAATATGACCCCTTAGCTACAAATACATAGTATTAAAGCAACATGACAAAATTATAAAAATATTAAAAATCCGACTGTTCAATACTTATTAAGATTCACATTATTCAATAGTTTCTTATTTTCTATCTATCTAATAAAAGTGAGTCAGTATTGTCTTATTTGTAAATTTCTTTGTTACATCATTGACTAGGAGTACTATACGAATAATGTCACATAATTATCTTGAGAGAAAGAGAGAGAGAGTTAAAAGGGGGCACAGACAGATTGGGGGATTTATAATAAGGAGAAAAACATGACATGAAATGAACAAGCACTCACCAGTCACTAGTCATTTTAGTCCCCCATAGAACTTTGGACCTGTCTGGCACTTCAAAAGAATTGATGAAGATAACAAGTGTTTTTCACCAATTCAATATGAGTTGAATACATGAGAGAGAGAGAGAGAGAGGGAAAAAACGTAGTCAAAGTAACATGGTCATAATGATATGTTGCTTTCACCAAGTCATTACTCATGAGGGTCTGATTGTAATTTGGTTATTGCCTTAAAAGCTACATTATGATACTTTGCATGCATTGTAACTCTTGTGCAAAAATTATTAGTGTCATTGATATATATAAAGAATTTGTTTACAAAATAAGGTGGTAGTATTGAAATTTATCATTTCAAAAATATATGTTTATTCAAATAACATTTAATTACGTGAATATTATTATTACATTATTTTGATGATAACATTATTTTGATGATAAATTACGTATGAATAATATTTTTTACCAAAAAAAAGAGGTGTGATATGAAATTTGATAGGTCTCTCTCTGTCTTGCATATGGAGACTAACATTATTGATGAATTGTGAGCGACCAATTAATGTACAAGCATTTCATTTATAAATGTCACTTGACAAAGCCTTAATGCCACATTGTTAGTCCCCCACCCCACCTATGCTCTATAAATCTCCCCTAGTCTTTAAAGAAAATTCATACCCTTCTTAAAACCCTCTGTCTGTGTGTTTGAGTGTGTGTGTGTGTGTGTGTGAGAGAGAGAGAGAGAGAGAGAGAGAGAAGAGAGGGAGATAATGTCTACATTGAACCATCTCTTGGATCTTCAAGAACAGATTTGCTATGTGCAGTGTGGTTATTGTACGACCATTTTACTGGTACTTCTTGTGGTTTATGCATTCTTTCTGCTTTCATTTTTTTTTTTTTTTTGGGATTTAACTCATTTTTTTTTCCTCCTTTCCCCACAAATTCAGGTAAGTGTCCCAAGTAGTAGTTTGTCAATGGTAGTTACGGTGAGATGCGGCCACTGCACCACCCTCCTCTCTGTGAACATGATCAAAGCCTCTTTTTTCCCTCACCATCTTTTTTCTTCTCCCAACCAAGATGATGAGGTACTGAATCCCAGGTTCTTTAATCAGAATCAGTCTTAAAAAATGCATAAATCGATCACAGGACCGGAACGAACAATAAAATTAAATGTGTATTGATCATAAGATTTTTTACATGTGGATCCCACTAATAACAAGTATTGGACAATTTTATGTTTTTGATCCCTCATACTCTCTCTCTTTCTCTCTCCAGCTGCCAAAACAAGATGGTAGTCCTAAGGAAGAGGATTGCCAAAAGGCTCTGGACAAGAGGAGCCGATCCCCGGTCATTTCAAGGGAGGATGAAGAAGACGAGGATGTTGTCCCAATAAATCATATTGTCAACAAACGTACGTAAAGTCACTGAAAATCACTTGAAGTTGAAAGTTGATGGAATTGCAAATTCTAACTTGGATGGTATTTTGTAAATACATAATAATCTTGAGTGTATTAACTAGTTCTTTATTTTTAGATCGTTTGGAAAGAACAAAAGAAAGGTTTTGTTGTTTCTTTAACAATTTCTGATCTCTACTGGACTTTTCAATAGAATTTGTTTCTAATCTTTATTTGATTCTCAACAGCCCCAGAGAAGCGGCAACGAGCTCCATCAGCTTATAACAACTTCATCAAGTAAGATTTCTCTTAAAGTTTGAGTAATAAATTGATAATTATTCTAGTATTAGGTTTAAGCCATGGTCTTACAAATAGGCTCTCAGGCTTTATGTATTGAATTTTTGTCCTTCTAATATCAATATATCCCAAATGTATCGGTTAAAATGAACATCACATCATGTGTATGATTCCGATACATGTCAGTTCTTAGTTGATTCATATGATCGATACAACAATTCATAGCCAATATAGCTGGTTCGACTGCTATAAAAGCACATTTTTACGGCTGATTATTTTTAAAACCATGAGACTATTCCTGATATATATCACTTGATACCCTCGATATTGTTACACAGTGACCCATACCGATACATGGTTTGAGCTATTGTCATTACATAAATGTCTATTGCAGAGAAGAAATCAGGAGGTTGAAGGCTGAATATCCCAACATGACTCACAAGGAGGCATTCAGTGCAGCTGCAAAAAATGTAAGTTTTTTGATGAGCAAAGACAATGGAGATTTTTTTGAGAAAATGACAAAACCTAGACTTGAGATTTTGGACAATATTATTCCCATTCAAGGGAAACTAACTTCATCATGGACATGTCATGAGAACCTTTAGTGGGCCCATTTCACACCAGTTCATTACAACAAAAGAGTTGGAGAGAGCTGTGACCTGCAGAGAGAGAGAGAAAGATGCCAAGGAGCTCAGATGTCGGAGAGGTAATATGATGCCATATATATATATATATATATAAAACAGTTAACATATTATCAAATATAGTGATTGAATGAACAACAGTTAGAGGTACACCTGAGTAGGGTTTGAAACCAATCATATTCTTGTTATTTGTTTTGATCTTTTGGAATATGTGGTTCAACTAAAATGAAATTAAATTGAATGGAGTCGCGATTTCTTAATTTTTATATAAAATGATTATTCTCTTATAAATAATAAATTCATTTGTAATATAATTTTTATTATTTTTTTAATAAATCAAATGTGAGAATAGATTTATGATAAATAATTATTTTATTTCACTTTATTCCAATGAAACATATAAAATATTAAAGTATCATTCATTAGTTAATGAGTTAGGCATCAATACTGTTATAACTAAAAAAAATATAAATGAAGTAATCAATTGAACTAAATTAACAAAAAAAATAAAATTAAATAAACTAAAATTATAAAAATTAAAATCACACTGACATCAAAATATAAATACTACAATTTTGCCCTTTATTCAATTATTCTAGTTAGTCTTTTTTAATAAATCAAATGTGAGAATAGATTTATGATAAAATAATTATTTTATTTCACCTTATTCCAATAAAACATATAAAATATTAAAGAATCATTCATTAGTTAATGAGTTAGGCATCAATACTGTTATAACTAAAAAAAATATAAATGAAGTAATCAATTGAACTAAATTAACAAAAAAAAAATAAAATTAAATAAACTAAAATTATAAAAATTAAAATCACACTGACATCAAAATATAAATACTACAATTTTGCCCTTTATTCAATTATTCTAGTTAGTCGATCACATGGCACTGGTTAGTTGAACAACAGTTGTAATCAAACAAACAGGTCACAGAGTTTAAGAGTAAGAGACTACTGGTTAAAAACATCATGATTTCAAAAATGCCTCTGCATCCAATCACAGTTTGCCACAAGATAGAAATCACATTCCAAAACTTGGCTGACAAAATGAGGACTCAATTGGCTACTGGGATTTTGAGAACCAGTAGTGGCCTAATCTAGACGAACCAAACTTAGGTCTACTTTAAAAAGTAAGTTAAAAAGTCTGTTTTTTAATTTAAAAAAAAAAAATTAAAAAACAACCCTAAATTGGGGAAAGGCTATTTGGGTAATTATAGATGTCACTTGCTAGATTCTATAGCTTGTCACTTTCTTCTAGTTGAATGATTGAATCATTATTCATTACTAGATTATCAAATTGATGATGCAACCACTTATGGGTGATTGAACAAGTTAATTAAATAATGAAAAATATTATTTATCATCGGTTTTATTTTATTATCTTTTGTTTTATATAATAAGTGAAGAATTTTGGTAAATCACCTTTTTGGTAAACTATTTTTGTGTCTGCTAGGTTTTCATCAATAAATTTTTATTTTTTAATTAAGTAAACACATATAGTATAACATACTATCTGATTTGTCAACTAAAGTCAAGTTTGAAAAAACTAAATAAGTATACTTTTTGACTTTTTATAAATATGGATTGAGTTTAGGTTGGATTTAAAGTGATGTGTTAAAGAAGTGATGTGACTTAAATAAGATGATGTGATTTAAATAGAATAACGACTTTTTGACTTTTTAAATTTTTTAAAAATTACCAAACTTAACCTAAATAAAGTTGTGTAAGCATTATCTTACTTGGAAAAACAATTTTGTTGCGTCAAAATCATAAGATATATTTTGAGACTATTGAAGAAGCGCTCTAGAATTCTGTAGCCTTGAAATCTGTAACACGAGACTATAGACACCATTAGTCCTTTCAACTCTACAAGTATATTTACAGTAATTAATGCCACCAGTTGTGTTAGGAGCACAAAAGACTTTAGCAAATGCGGGCCCCACACATATGGGTCCTAATACTGTATTTTACATTTGTGTCTTATTCGATGAATTTTTTTTTTTGTGCACTTAAGCTTTATCTTATGCTACTGATGGTGGGTGCATGGCTTTTTTATTGCAAACAATTTTCAGGTCCATGTAGAGGGCAATTGTTTCTGTGAAAGTAAGGCTCTGAGGCATTCCAAATGGACAAAAACACCCTTTTAAGTAAAAGGAGCATTTAATAAGAACTACCAGAAGAAGAGAGCTGTTTCCATTTTAAGGTTAAGGTTAGGGCTAGGGTTTCAATCATTTGCCTTTCTGAGGTAGATGCTCTTTCGGAATTGAGGTTTTCTGACTCCAAGCTTGTTGAGGACTTAGTAAAATGGTTGATGTAATTTTTCTAATGACAACTCTTTCTTCTATGTAAGCGGCTCTACCATCAATTACTAATAAATAACCATGAAAACAAAGTTATTTTTTGGGGTTGGGGATAGAGTTAGTGTTAGGGTTAGGTATCATAAATATCTCAAAATTGATATAGAAAACTTGTTTGACAAAATATTTTAAAATTAATTTTCAAGATTTTTTTTTGTTGAAAACAATCACTTTTATTGAGAAACAATTTTTCACCATAATGAAAATAATATAAAAATGTTGGGTATTTATATGATTTGTAAAAATTATTTCTGTTTGTGAATATATGAAAAATGGAAAATGGAATTTTGAAATGAAAATTTTGAGTGTGAAGATGTGAACAAGAACGTTAATGCACTGATTAATTATTAATTTTGTAATATCTTTCTCAGATCGTGTTGAATTTTTTTTATCATTTTAACAGACGTGATTTTCAAATGGGAACTCATTTTGTTTTTCAATCTAAAAATTCATGTGTGCGTGATTTAGCACACGCACACAAGCGAGAGAATGAGAGGGTAATATACTTTTATGGTTTGAAGATCATTACTTGTGGGAGCCGAATAATTGGCAATGCCGGGAAGAGTGTACTCTGCAGAACAGACACTATTGTACTCTGCAGAATAGATACTATTCGGCGTTATCCGGCGCGCTCAGGAGGTCGAATACAATAGATAGGCCAGATAAGCGTAAATCCATGGAGCTGAATATGAGAGAGGACAATGAGTAACGAGTAGGCACTGGCCCCGAGGTCCAGGAAACGAATATAAATACAGGAACTATAGATAAAAAGAGGGGGAGAAAAAAAGAAGGGTAAAAATCCCCTTGTTTAACTTAGAATACAAATAACCTAGAGCTTGAGACTGACTTGTCTGTCGGAGTGCTAATTCCGGCACCTACGTCGGAGCGTTTATTTCCTTTCAGGTGACTATTTGAGGACTCCTAGCGTCTCCCAAGATCCGAAGGGTATTTCCAAACCACTTCCACACAATTGGCACTGTCTGTGGGAATACTCGAATACATCCATGGAAGGCGTAATCGAAGATCCTCCGGTAGCCACTGACGACATTACACAGAAGGATGACCTTACTCCAGCAAATATGCTCGGAAAGGAAACCATCGCTGCAAGACGCGCTTTGAACTTCGACTCACCAACGACTTCAGCGCAAGAGACAATGCAAGCAATTATGGAACAAACCAAGCAGAATGAAAAGAGGCTGGAGAATATGATCGCAGAAAATGAATGTCTCCGTCAAGATTTGGCCCTGGAAGTAGCGAAATCTAGAGAAGCCGTGCGCCAAGATCCCGAACGACCTCTAAGGGCAGGTGAACAACGAGCTCGAGCCCGACCAAAGGACACCGATAGTGACTCCAACTCATTATCCACGGAGCCCGACAAGAAGGGACGATCCGAAACCTCCAGCTGCTCCGAAAAAAGTCTACGAACAAGGAATAAGCACAGGAGAAACAGTTCGGATGAAGAAGATCAGCATGATCCCTTTGTCCGACGGATTGCAAGGGCAATTCTGCCCAAGAAGTTCAAAGCTCCATCATTTGCCCTCTACGATGGAAAATCATACCACACCGATCACATCCGTCACTACAAGCAAGCCATGACATTGCATGCAGACAACGAGGCCCTCATGTGCCGAATATTCCCCAGCAGCTTGGGACCTTTAGCAGTCAAGTGGTATTACAAACTGGAGCTGGCTTCGGTCGAAAGCTTCCATCAATTACAGAAGTCCTTCAGGGCCAGATTTATCACCAACGAGGTCCAGCCGAAACAAGCAGACTCTCTCTGAGCGATTCAAATTCAACCTGAAGAAACACTGAGAGCGTATTTGGGGCGCTATTGGGAATGCTTTAATCTTGTTGACGACGCTTGCAACGACTCCATGGCCATCACCGCCTTCAAAATGGGATTGCAACCAGACAGTGCCCTCCGCAGTTCCTTGACCAGAAGACCCCTCAAAACGGTCTATGGGTTGATGAAGAAAGTTGAAGAACACTGCAAGGTAGAGGACGATGCCTTGCGGGTTAAAGCCGGATGCGTATCCAGTAAAACGGCCTCCCCTGAAATTGCTCAGCCAATAAGTTCCGTACCGTCTCAAAGCCCAGAACCATGGCAGCAGGGTAAACGAGATAAAATGCGGGATTCTCGCCGATCGAACGATCAGTGCTCTCATCGAACGAATGAACAACTGCAAGTCGACAGCAGGCGCACGAGACGTACCGACAAAAAATATACGGAACTGACAGAGCCGATCAATGTGGTAATGTCCAAAATCCAACATTTTCCATTCTTCAAATGGCCGTCGAAGATGGTAGGCCCTCCTAACACACGAAGGCGGGATAAACGCTGCGAGTATCACAAAGATTATGGCCACGAAACTGAAAGTTGCTATGCATTAAAGGATCACCTAGAGGAACTGGTGCAAGATGGCCGGCTGCAACAGTACGTAAGAAAAGGCAACCCAACCAAGGCACTAGCTTTAAGACAAGATTCATCTCCACTTGGCGTGATCCATATGATATACAGCCTACCAGCACCTCTAACCGTGCACACAAATCAATCACATCCAGTTTCCCGAGGGCAACATACTCCAACCAAACGGCCCAAAAAAGCTCCGAGTATTGCCTTCAACGATTCTGATCTTGTCGGCATGACAATCTCCTACATTGATCTGTTGATCATCAGATTACGTGTAAACCAGTTTACCGTCGAACGCATTCTCGTAGATCCAGGGAGTACGTCGGAGGTTATGTATTATGAGACCCTCATCAAACTTGGCTTCAATGAGTCAGATCTATCTCCAGCTCCTTATCCGTTATTCGGCTTCAACACGAATCCAGAGTACCCGTTGGGGAAGATCACACTACCCGTTTGAGCGGGCTCCAGAACAGTCAAGGTTGAATTCTTGGTCGTAAAGCTTCCTTCGCCGTATAATGTTATCATGGGACGAACTTGGTTGCATATCATGCAGGCCGTGCCAAGCACCTATCATCAGCTTATGCGCTTCCTGACAGCCCGTGGCGTTGAAAAGATCTGTGGCTGCCAGCAGTCAGCATGAACAGTTTTATGAAAGTTCTATCACTAACCCGACTTGTGGGCTTTGATACTTGTATTTAGCTGACTTCTGCAATGAAAGGTCTCATCTTTTTCCATTGTGCAATTCACTTCCCATTATAGTGTCAAATAAGCCTCCGGATTCGGAGCTCCCATTCGGTGCAAAACACGTTGGGGTCGATTAAGTCTCCGGATTCGGAGCGCCCTTCGTGGATATCACGATTGGCACAAATAAGCCTCCGGATTCGGAGCCCCCTTCGGTGCAAAACAAGTTAGGGCCGATTAAGTCTTCGGATTCGGAGCGCCCTTCGTGGATATCACGATTGGCTCAAATAAGCCTCCGGATTCGGAGCGCCCTTCGGTGCATGATACCTTAGGGCCGATTAAGCCTCTAGATTCGGAGCCCCCTTCGGTACAAAACACGTTGGAGCCGATTAAGTCTCCGGATTTAGAGTGTCCTTCGTGGATATCACGATTGGCTCAAATAAGCCTCCGGATTCGGAGCCCCCCTTCGGTGCAAAACACGTTGGGGCCGATTAAGTCTCCGGATTCGGAGCGCCCTTCGTGGATATCACGATTGGCTCAAATAAGCCTCCGGATTCAGAGCGCCCTTCGGTGCATGACACCTTAGGGCCAATTAAGTCTCCAGATTTGGGGCCCTCTTCGGTGCAAAACACGTTAGGGCCGATTAAGTCTCCGGATTCGGAGCGCCTTTCGTAGATATCACGATTGGCTCAAATAAGCCTCCGGATTCGGAGCGCCCTTCGGTGCATGACACCTTAGGGCCGATTAAGCCTCCGAATTCGGAGCCTCCTTCGGTGCAAAACATGTTGGGGCCGATTAGTCTCCGGATTCGGAGCGCCCTTTGTGGATATCACGATTGGCTCAAATAAGCCTTCGGATTCGGAGCCCCCTTCTGTGCATAACACGTTGGGCCCGATTAAGTCTCCGGATTCAGAGCGCCCTTCGTGGATATCACGATTGGTTCAAATAAGCCTTCGGATTCGGAGCCCCTTCTGCAAATCATATCCTCATTCGGCTCTTAAAGCTCGCACGCACAGGCTGATTCATTACGTCGGTCGGCCAAGTACCTAAGCTGAGCCGAATCAGATTATAATTGAACGCAATGCCATTCGTCAACTTAGCGAATTGGGCACATCTTATGGACCCCTTGTTACATACGAAAATTATTACACAAACTGCAAGTCCGCATGAACGAAACAAAATATGCCAATATGTGAAATGAGGTGCCTAATTGAATATATAAAAACGCCCAGAATAAGGCGCAAATGTTCGAAATGAAACATTTTATTTGATTAAAACAGTAGTTACATAAACGCAACCCGTATTTGAACATTACAATATCCATTTTCAACCTCAAAAGCGAAAAAGGGGAAAAAGATGCGTTGGTAAAGCGGCATCGCCAAATCAACGCCTGTCGCCCGGAAGTCCTCCACGGCTTGCAATGCCTTGAGCCAACTGTGCCCAAGCCCATGACTTGCACATTGCCAAACTTCCCCTGATACCATTGACAATGTCAAGGCAAAGATCCAGGACAAGGAAGGATAAACTCAACGGTCGTTGTCTCTCCTTTCGAGGCGATCTGCTTCGACGACTTGAAGACTCATGCCATCTTTTGGACGCCCTACCTCCCATACGGGTGGGTTCTCTGCTGCGATCCATTGCAACACCAAGCTCGACCGAAGTTCGAGCTTCTCTAACTAACACCCCCACTTATCTTACCTCACATAACAAGTGATGAGGAATCAAGCGTGTTTATTTGCACGAGGTGCCCACTCCTTTTATTTTCAATACTAGTGGCGATCTCGAGGCCCCAATCCTGAGGCAATTTCATTAACGCTAAACTCCATGAGACGATACGAACGTCGGTCGACATTCACCATTGCCTAGTTATCACAAACGGCTTTTTGAAGCACATGCACTGGCTGGGACAAGGACAAATTATCAATCCAACTGGCCAAACATCCAGCCCCGAGCCGGGACGAATT